CTCCCCATCTCAACCTACAACCTTTCCAATTTTCCCTCCTTTTTTGCAAAGATTGATGCACAGTTGATGAGTTACGTGTGTCCTAAAACCACAATGAGTAAAGACAACAAATTAACAATATACAAGACACTAATTAGACCAATTTGGACATGCTGAGTCCAACTTTGGGGTTCAACAAAACGTTCCAACCTCCAACGTATCCAATCCTTACGATCAAAAATCCTTCGGACCATCGTCAATGCTCATTTCTACGTATCAAATTTTGCCATTCACAGCGACCTTAATATCCAATATGTCTTTGAAGTAGGGAAAGCTACAAGACATACAAACCCTCATGTCAGAAACCTTCATCTCGCACCCTTCCAAATAATCCTCCCCGACGGCAGAAGCGTCACTGGGCCTCTCGCACCTCCTAAGTGGCAGTGAAAGTGATTAACGCTGTTTGTACGTTGTAAGATGTTATTAAATTTACTTACGTGTAAATAAATAAAGAAGAGAAGAAAAAAACGTTGGAGGTTTGTGGAGCGGGTCAGCGTCACCCCCTATCGTCGTAGCCATCGTGTCTGTCCATGAATAAGTGGTTGGGATGGAATTAATCGAAAACAAGCTGGTATTCTTTTCGGACCCTCACGATGTCTGGTTTGGACGCCTTAAATCTAAACCGGTCCCGGCGCCGGAACCGTAAAAATTAGCCGCAATCATTGCGGGTTCTCGAGAACACAATTTAGGAGAAGTGAAGAGTACAGCTCCTAGACACGCGAACCATGTGGAGAAAGCAAGAGGTCTGATGACGCGAAGAAGAATAAAAAAAATGACTCTGGACTTCTTTTCTTCGCGGTATGAGAGGTTTAAAGAAGAAAATCGGTTCGGAAGAAACACAAAAACTCTACACCAGAAGAATGACTTGCAGAAACTAGAAGAACCCATCTAGTTTTCATCCAGACAAAAGTCACCGCACAAATAAACTATTTTTTTTGTAAACTTGATTTTTTAATGTCAGCAAACAGTGAAAAACCATTGACTGACAAAATATTCCCTATAAGATCAAAACTAAAGCGGCCCTAAAAGCATTAGCATGTATGCTATATTCAAAATAATCAGTCCCTCCCTGATTGGTATGGTGCGGTAAATGCCTCCCAAAAATACCTTAGGAATATACTTATATATATATACTTTCCTCCAAATTTCGCCGATGTCCAAGAGACAATTTTTTTATTGTTTTTTATTGTATTCTGTACAAAAAAGGCAAACATTTAAATGTTGTTAGTGACAGATCTGACAGAAACCTGTCCAGACCATGGATATGGTCATTGGCACTCTCATGTTACGGATTGTTGGTTGAGGTTTAGGGTTGGACTAGGAGGTGGATGGCTTGGCTGAACCCCACAGCTCTATTCAGTATGTCAAAATTGATCTAATTAGCGTCTTGTATAATGTTAATTTGCTGTCTGTACTCATTGTGGATTTGGGACCAAGTCTGAGTTGTCTGTATCTTTGGTCCAGTTCTTGTCTTTTTTGTTTTATTTGTATGTTCCAAGTAAGTCGGCCGTCCGAGTAGAACGATTGGATGGGGGATTACCTTATTGTGTGTATGCACTGGTGGCTCTTTTAAGTGCCGTTTGTTTAGTTTGATGCACCACCGAGTTCACCAGCCGGTAATGAGTTCTAGATGGTCTTGGGTTACTGTTGCTGCAAGGCTAGGGTCAGGATGAGGAGAGGATTGCAATGCCGTCTGCAAAGTCATGTTTGTGTGTTTTGGTGTATAGGGATTGTCAGTGGTCTAGACTGTAGAGGATTGGTCCTAGGATACCCCTTAGGGAATGCTTGTGTTGATGTCTGAAAATTTTGAGCCAATCCTTACCTTAAATCAGCAATCCGAGAGGAAGAACGTAAGGATGAGATAGTACGTATCGGGAAGAATACTTTTTAATTTGGATAGGAGAGGTGCCACACTCTGCCAAATGCCTGTAACATCTAGATTGCTCCAAACAAATTTAAGAACCAAAAAAGAATGGAAAAGAGTTTTAAAAAAACCTCCATTGAGAATGGCACCATCTGCTGGACACTGACAGATCTAGAATGAAGGAAAGTGCAGGACAGGGGTGTTCATTCCTACACCCATGCTGAAGTCCATGTAATTGAGAGATGTACCCAGTTCAATTTGAACAAAAAGTCCAAAAACAAGGATAACGTCAGATAGCCAAGAAACACTAAGTTGAAACATCATTAACTCAAAGATGGTCCTGAATTGAAAAACTAAACTAAATAGATTAGGTATACAAAATAAAGTCCCCCTCTGTTGAGTCCCAGGATGTGTGGAGCTGCTATACTGCTGATAGGTCCTGAGCCCTTTGTGTCTGCCATATGGATTCACACGATCAATGAGTGTCTTAGACAGAAGACAAACTGATAATAAGAAAACGCAGGAATTTACTCATTGGACATAAACAATCCATGAAGCTTCTAGCAAATTTTGGAAGCTAGCTGCTTCAAAGGAAGCAGGAAAAAACTTCAAATTCTGAAAGGGTTCTTGACAGGACCCTGCCGCTGAATGGGTATCTGAAGAAGATGGTATAACCCAACATAGCACATGCAGATTCTGCAAAGAAGCGAAGGAATGCCAACTCGTATGTGCAATGTAACCGTAGAAAAAATTCAACTACTGAAATCATACCTACTAATCAAATCTTGATGAACTGGGACGAACTGGTGCTATAAGTTCAGAATGGGAGATACAATAGTTCTTAAAGGGTGCAGTATGCTACAACCCTGAACATTACATCTTATCATATGCCTTCTACATGCAGCACTGACTGTATCTCCAGGCCTTCTCCATATCCATGTGACTGTTAAGGACCTCATCAGTGAACAGACTTTTTTCCATTCCTATAATCCATGGGTAGAGTTCCCTTAACTTTTAAGATTTCCTGAAGTTTCACAGACCTTCTGGATCTAAGTTTTGACTCGCTCAGACTTCTGGAACCAATAGGCATAAAAGGCACTAGAACGTCTTGCAGGATCATCTCCACATATCTGATCTTCAAGGCCCCCTTTGGATGGTAGCAACTACAATGCCATACAACAGATTTTCTTCCGAATGTGTTTCCACGTGTAGAACTGACTGTATCATCATCTCCAGATTCTTTCAACGCTCTGGACTGTTAACGGCCAGTCTCGTCTCATCACTAAATAGGATTTTTTCCCATTCCTCTATAGTCCACGATAGTTTTCTCTTGCTTCTTAGCTTTTTGCGGTCTCAAAGGAGTTGTAGATTTAAACGTTTGATTCTCTCTGTCTTTTAACATGTGATTCTGAAATAGATATCCCGTGAATACCAGCGATCGAGTTTTTAATGCCAGAAACTAATGAATTGATCCCACATTGCTTGCATTTTAAAAAAACTTCAGCTATAGTCATTCCGGGTGCCGTGAATCTGGTCGCCTCGAGTGCTGGGAACCACTACATGATCTTGTGGGTTCATCCCCAAATGTCTTACTCAAGGTCTTACAATGTCTACCTTGAAATGCCACAGAACATGATAGTCCATCTTCCAAAGTACTTCCACATGCAGAACTATCTTTCTCCAGATCACCATCTGAACTGGTAATGCTTGCTATCATCTCAACAGGATTAGGACTTTTTTTCCTTTCTTCTGTAATCCATGTTGCGTGGATGTTCCTGAGCAAATATTAGCCTTCTACGTGGCCTGTGTGGTTACATGGACCTTCTGGATCTAAGGTTTGTCTCAGCATTCTAGCAGTTGACTCTGACAGATTGTTGACCCACAAATTCCAGTGTACAATTTTTAATTACTAGACCTGTCACATATGGATGCGATAGTTGGTTTTTGGTTAATCCATTTCAACTCAGATAGGAGTTCTCCACATTGCTTTGTCGCAACGAAGCAACATTAAATAGTCGACCGCTGTGTTCCGTTTCGTCCGACCCTCACGACCATTTTGATTATTTGACGCCTGGTCATTTTCTTGTAGGCGCCCCTCTTATTGCTCCTCCTGAACCGCCTTTAGATTTAGATCAAAATCTCAAAACACGATGGAGTCGAATCAACCAACTTTCCCAATTCTTCTGGAAAAGGTGGTCAAAAGAGTACCTCCACACGCAAATACAGCGACATAAATGGACTCAAAATCTGGAAAATCTAAAGGAAGGTGATATCGTTTACCTCTATGGCACCAACCCTCTTAGTTGGCCTATAGGTCGCGTCGAAGAGGTGCATCCCAGTTCCGACGGCGTTGTACGGGTCGTCTCGGTCCGCACTTCCAGCGGCTTATACGTCAGACCCTCTAACAAGTTGGTCCTTCTTCCTCTATTTAAAATCCTCCTTCCCTTGTAAATACCTCCCTTCGCCAAGGTGGCTCATTTTATTTTACTTACTTATTATTTTACAATTAATTAAGGTTTTTAGTTGAGATGAAAAAAAGTTAATGGCACGAGAGGGATTCGAACCCATGACCTTTGGCTAGATACGCCGCTGCTCTACCACCTGAGCTATCGTGACCACGATCCACTCGGACATCAACTCCCCATCTCAACCCCACCTTATGAGTTTTCCCTCCTTTTGCCATTTTTCAATTAGGAAAGGAATTACTTATTATTTTTTTATTTTGTAAAATATTCATTTTAGGTGGGCGGTATGTTCACACCGGGCATAATTTATTTTCTTCTTTTCTTCCATGTGAGGTCTTGGTCTATCAGACGCGTTTCAGCATTTTGAACATCTTCACTGTGCGTGTACAATTGACATTCACACCGAAGATAGCTAAATACCAAAACTCTCCGATCCATTCTAACCAGCCCGGTGTTCCTCAAGGGAGCATCCTAGATCCATTATTTTTCTCACATTATGATAGATCCTTGTAATATGTCTTCTCATTGCATAAATTAATATTGTGTTTAGAATAATCATAACATTTATTAATTATTAGGTTTTTTGGGTAATTTTTTTTACTTATTTCTAAAAATATTTTTTTGCCCCACAGTGTAAGGGACATTTAGTGCCCCACCAGACGAGAAAATCGATACAGTGCTGCAACAACTCGGACCTCTGCAACAAGTATTTAAACCCACCTTTAACTATTCCTAGAACAAATAGTCCACCGACCCCATCGATATTGCTTCACGACACTATGCCGTACATCGCACTTCTTGCCTCATTTACTGTCTGCGTGATTGTCTTCCTCCTCATAATCACCTTCTTTTATTTAAAGTAAGTAAAATGAAATTTTATCTAATACGTTGCCAAAAATATCATTTAGCTAATATAATTTTTCTTTTTTTTACGTAAAGGTACAAAAAGAAGGAGGAAAGCGGGAAGTTGTACCTTGTCGAAGGATCCAGAGATGCATACCTCACACAGTCACACACCTTGCAAGATCTAATAGAACAAAGTTCCGGCTCAGGTTCCGGGCTGCCTCTCCTTGTCCAACGTACAATCGCCAAACAAATTCAAATGGTACATTCTGTCGGTAAAGGGCGATACGGCGAGGTATGGCTTGCAAGATGGCGAGGCGAAAAAGTCGCAGTCAAAGTTTTCTTCACAACCGAAGAGACTTCTTGGTTCAGGGAAACTGAGATTTACCAGTCTGTGTTAATGCGACATGATAACATATTAGGTATGTCATGAACTGTTCAAATTTAGCATTCTTTCTAAACAAAATTTAATTGTTTTGTAATTATAATGTAATAATCTATAGGTTTTATTGCGGCTGATATCAAAGGGAATGGTTCGTGGACTCAAATGCTACTCATAACTGATTACCATGAGTTGGGATCGCTATATGATGTTTTGAGGACCACTGCTTTAGATCCGCAATCACTGCTTGTGTTGGCGAGATCAGCCGCCAGTGGAATCGCCCATCTACACACGGAAATTTTTGGCACAAGGGGAAAACCAGCGATCGCGCACAGGGACATCAAATCGAGAAATATATTGGTAAAAAGAAACGGAGAATGCGCAATTGCTGATTTTGGACTCGCTGTAAGATACATGAGGTACGGTTTAATTTTTTCTTCTTCACGTTATAAATTATTGAATTAAAATATTAATTGTACTGTTTTTCAGCGAAACCAATGAAATTGATATAACTCCGAACACAAGAGTCGGCACAAGGAGATACATGGCTCCCGAAGTTCTGAGTGAAACAATGGACATGAAATCCTTCGAAGCGTTCAAAATGGCCGACATGTACGCTTTGAGTCTTGTATTTTGGGAAATGTGCCGGTAAATATCCTTCATTTTAATTAAATAAAAAAAATAAAATTAGAGCAAAGTTTATACTTAATTGTATTTGTTTTTAGACGATGCGTTACAACAGGTGGAGGGGATAAATGGGGCTTCCAAGCCGAGGAGTATGCCCTGCCGTACAACGATGTCGTTCCTAATGACCCGAGTTTTGACGATATGCATTTAGTTGTGTGCGTTAAACAAATAAGGCCTCAAATACCATTACGCTGGAGGGATCATCAGGTCAGTAAAAACAACCCCACTTAATTCTACCTGAAATAGGACGTTAATTAAATTCCTGTTATAAAAGGAGGTCTTATTCAACTACCCGTTGGGTTTTGTGGACGTCAGACCACTTGACAAATTCAAAAGCCATGCTGTGATTCGAACCCAGAACCGCTAGCATGGCAAATACGAGTCGAATAGTGTGGTATGGGTATAGTGTGGTTTGAGACTCGAGACTTCGAAACGGCTCACCTCGTGTTCTCATCCACGGCCATTTTTCTCAATCCGAGCTCCTTAATTCTATCCTGTGACCCCTCCTAACCCTTGGTTACAAGTGGGGTATCCGGGCACAAAATAAAGTGCCTTAATCACACAGCCATCTCAATCCCCTTGAAAAAGAATATTTCTTATTTAATTGTTATTTATAAGTAAAAATACTTATCAAGCAAGATGGTTTGTCTTGATTGAATTAACACCAAGTTGTCGACGAGGAACTTGAGACCTTTACCTTACAATAATGAGCACGGTGTCAACATCTAAACCATTGCGGCCACCGATGGTATGCCTTGTATCCACTCGTAGCTTTTCTTCTTATCAAAGCTGTGGTGCTAGCTCTGTTGCCCACCATCGTTGTGTTGTTCCCTCATTCTGTTTCTACGCTGGAGGAGCCTCTACACTCAGAGAGATAGAGTTGCCTTCTCTATGTAGGGAGTACGCGAGGGGGGGGGACGGGCTGATGTATTTCGGCCCGTTAGCCCCTCGCGTGCGGCATACGACCCGACGCATAATGCGGGCCCGACCATTTGGAGTGGACAAGCAGAGAGCGTGGTTACCGACCCCTAGGAGCCGGGACACCATACACCAATGCTGCGGCGGTAACACCATCCCGTCGTATGCGGAGGTGCGTCAGCTCTCATCTTGAGAATCAAAACGTCCGATAAGGCCGAACAGGCTAGGTGTGGACGTTAAAGATCCTCTTGTCTTGTTGACGATGAGTAATCGGGAACGCATGTTCCCTCATTCTACAACAAGTGGTATAGTGTGATTTGAGACTCGAGACCCCAAAACGGCTCACCTCGTGTTCTCATCCACGGACCTTTTTCTCAATCCGAGCTCCTTAATTCTATCCTGTGACCCCTCCTAACCCTTGGTTACAAGGGGGGTATCCGGGCACAAAATAAAGGTGCAGCCCAGAGGGCATGGCAACCTCTCTAAAGCACAAGCTGTACTCGTGTCGGCCTAAGGGTTGGCATGGGCGGCGGGTGCCTGAGCAGAGTCACACAGGGCCAGTGCACTAGATCCTGTCTGCAAAGATGGGGGAGGGTGTATGGCCATCTGTACCACTGGGTAACTGAAAAGTTCCAAATTCAGCCCTAGTTACACTGGGAATGGATTCGTGGTGGTGCGTGGTGACGCCCCTGGCGGGAACTTAGACAGAGGCTGTCTTCTATCTGTGACCTCAGTGAAGCTTGCATATGGAAAATTACCCCCGGCCTCACGGGAGACATTGCGACCGGACGACAGCATGTAAGCGTTGAGGACGCAATAATCATGCTATAATCCCTCGAATGCGTAAGTAAGCGAATGGAAGCGGGTAGTGAATCGGTGTCTCAGACGCTTTGCATTGTTGTGCGTATGACCGGCGTGGTACCCTTGGGGAAGCGAAGGATCGGACCACCTGGGCTGAACCTATGGTGTCCCTCGAATGCTGTAGGCTGAGCTCGATAAGAGACTTTACCATAGGCAGTGCTCATCTAAGGGGTGGTTAGCAATTTCACTTTAAACTAAACCGCTGTCGGGGCGTTCCCGGAAGTTTCTACGCTGGGGGAGCCTCTATACTCAGAGAGATAGAGTGGCCTTCTCTATCTAGGGAGTATGCGGGGGGGGGCGATGTATTTCGGTCTGTTAGCCCCCTCGTGTGCGGCATACGACCCGATGCACAATGCGGGCCCGACCATTCGGAGTGGACAAGCGGAGAGCGAGGTTGTCTTGGCCCTTAGGGGCTGGGGCACCTCTACACCAATGCTGCGATGGTAGCCCTATTCCATCGTATGCAGAGGTGCATCAGCTCTCATCTTGAGAATCAAAACGTCCGATAAGGCCATGTGCCAGGTGCGGACGCTAAAGATCCTCTTGTCTTGTTGGCAATGAGTACTCGGGAACACAATGTTCCCTCATTCTCTTTTTACTCCTCATTTATAAGTCAGTTTTATTTTTTATTTATTTATTTTTACGAGCGTACTTCAGCTACAAGGTTATATGAACCGTCGGGTGTCGTCTGTGTGTTTGCAAAAACAAGCCTACTTGTAAGTATGTTGGGTTCAAATGCAAGGCCGTCCGATTTGAACCCAGGCCCTTTTATCTTACAGTGATGAGCGCCATGACAACGCCTAAACCATTGTGGCCACCCCGGTCAGTTTTTAAAAGAGGATATACCTTGTGATCTGAAAAGCCGATTTCAATAGACTTTTAAAAACTTAAATGTTTGAAAGGAACTTTATACAGAAATAAGAAAACTGGCCAAAGAGTGCGATGGAATTTCTGTTTGCAGCTTTTCTTTGGAGAGGAAAAAAAGAATGCAAGCAAGGATGAAGGTATTTTAAAGGTGTAAAGCTGGATTTCTGTTGTGCGAAAAAAATCACCCACACAACTAAACGCGAGAATTACTCTTGATATGCCATCTCAGGTTAACCATTTCTACAAGGCCTTCAGTTTGCGAGAAATGGATGGCCTATAGTGGCCCGTATTGGCCAAGGTTGGAAATGGTATTGGGGAACATTGGCTTTGGGAGTGGCTTGGGGAACCTAAAAACATCAGAAGAGGTGACACAGTAGATAGGTGACCTGTCCACACACTGGGTCAACATTGGTTGGCCATTGTTTTTTGTTTCCAACCAGGTGTCTGTCATGTAGCAGTTAGACACTCTAGCCAAACACAAAGCTGCATCAGTGATTTCCTTGATTTATCATGGTATAGTAAAAAGTAAGCAACTATAGGCCATTGAGGCTATGCTGACCCAAGCTTGAGCCAAGGCCAGCATGGCATGGTACCCAATCTTGGTGACAAATGCATTGGTCCGTCATGTGCCTAGAGGGCTTTGGAACTTGGAGTTGATTTTTTTTCCAATGCCTCCTCTACACAATGGTTGAAAAGAAGACCCTTGGGTAATCTTTGACCATCTATGTCCACACTCTGGTCGACGAAGGGTTATTGTGTGGAGCACAGAGTAGGAATTTGCTGTGCACTTTATTTGCCCAGACAGGCTCCTTTTGAAGAGGCAAAACCACTTGCATCTGTCGCCATCCCTTGTCACTACCATCACACCATAAGCCACCACACCCCTCCACAATGGAGACAGCTGATGGTGGCTTATATCCTGCGAATCTATTGGCACTATTGAAAGCCACCTTTTGTACGTCTGTTAAGGGGTAGATTGTTTGAGTCAAGAATGTTTCGTCAAGACATATTAGTCTTTGTAGACTTTGCAAGTTGTTTTGTGCCTCAGTTTTTATGGCCATCAAACTCAAGGAGACCCTGACCACTATGTGTAAACTACAAACCATCCTGGTGTTTGCTGCATAATCTCTGGCCAATGCTTAGCTTCAGCCTTATGTAATATGTTGCCTGTATAACTTCTCGACTTGAGTCTTTGATATTTAATGCTCTTTCTAACCATCCAAAAATTAAAAAAAATCACACAAACCAAACACTAAATATGGCAGAATGCTGAAACACAAAAGACACCCAAAGGCAGACTAAAATAATCAATAATGAATAATTTAAATTTTTTTAAATTTTGTGTTGAACTAATTGGCCTAAAAAGAGTTAATAATAAAATTTCCATTTTAATTTGTTTTTGTTTTATAGGTTACGAGCACTTTGGCGAAAATTATGCAAGAGTGCTGGCATTCGAATCCAGCAGTGAGGCTGACGTCGCTACGAGTTAAAAAGACGCTTCATAAAATCAGTCCTGACCCTAGCATAAAGATAATTTAGTGTCTGTCCACGTGGATACATCCGACCCACCTTTTGTACAAAACCTCCCCCATACTTTAATGTACAGTATTGTCTCATAAATACGAACCTGATTTATAATCTGTATTTCATTTCTCGTGATGTATAAAGTGTACATAACTTATGTTTTGAATTATTTCCTGTTTTGGTTTTTTTTGTTGTCCTAAATGCCCCCAACCCATCATCGCTCTCCTAAGACGATCTGACGATATCCGCCCTGAAAGAAAAAAAAACAACCTTAAATTAAACATGTGCTTTTTGCAGTGCCTTACATGAAAATAGATACATAAAAAAATACTAAGCTTGCGAAATTTTAAAATTTTATACAAATTAATTTGTTTTCAAGCAATTTCTGGATGGACAGTAGGACAAAAAATATTTTATACTAAAGGAAATAATTATTTAATAAAAAAAATTAATTATGAAAAGAAAAATAGACAAGATGTGTATAGAGAATTTATAAATATAATGTAATATAATTTATTTGTTACTTAATATATTATTTAATATTGTAAATAATTCATATTATTGTAGAAAGACTGATTGTGCAAGATACTATACAAATGTTTTCAACAATTATTATTATTAAGAATTATATTTTCTCTTTTTTTAACAATGGTTCATTGTTATCACGTGCTTTTGCCATAAGTAATTTTTTTTTTCAATCCTAACTAGGAATTTGTTCTGTAAACAATTCCGTTTTGTGTGTCATATTAATTGAATAGTTTTTACTAGCTTTTTAATTGAAAATTTTTGTTCTTTGATAGTGTTAAAAAAAATTCAATGCAATTTATGTTAGTCCAGTTGAAAAGTTCTCACATGTAGCGGATTAATAATTAGAAGTATTAATTATTTTGTACATAAATGTACAAATTTAATTATTTCTCTCTCAAAAAATTAATTGTGCCAAGGTTAGTGTATAAGAAGTTGTGTCGTCTGAGTAATATAGCTTTAAATTAACTATACTTAAGAACTTTTTTGTTGTTGTTGTTAAAAGTACTGGAAAAACGTATTTCAATGAACAGTGCCTAGAGTACTCAATTGTATATAACCTGGTAATCGATCAATTTCTAAAACTTGTACTTCCTCAGGACTGAAAGCAAGCTCGACTAATGTATGAGTGTTCAAGCTTAACTGTGACTGTAATGAGTTTCAGTACTCACCTTAATAAAACAATTTTTTTTCATCTCTATCATTTCAACTTCCTTCATTTTCACTTGTTTCTTTATTGTCGTTTTTCATAAATTAAATACATAAGAAAAATTGAGTTGCATGAAAGGGCAGATTGAGAAAAAGGTATTCAAGTTTTATTTGGTATACAGATGGCGCAGACTCGGAAGCTGGTATCTTTGGAAAAAACCAACTCTACTCATTCATATAACCATTGGTGAACTATTAAACACTGACAAGATCAAAAGAATAGCCACTTGGTCAGCCGTGTGGCAATAAAGGCAACTACCTCATCGGTAGTAAAATTTCATTAAGGTCAGACAGTGTGGTCAACAAATTACCTTTAGATGCTAGGGCACATTGAGTAGAGGAGCATCAAGGTTGATAAATCTGCCAATGAAAGTTTGATGGGGATACCTATCAGCTCTGACACATTTTGCATCATACCAATTGGGATTGCATCAGGGCCTGTCAGATATTGGGGATGACAAGATCTCTACTGTTTATACAGGGTAGAGGAGCAACAAGGAGGCTGATAAATCTGCCAAGGAAAGTTCGATGAGGTTGAGGAGCACTGACACCTTTTGTATCATGCCATTTGGCATTGCATCAGGGCCCTGTCAGATATTGGGAACAACAAAAGAACCCTTGTTTTGATAACAGGGTGTACAGGGTAGAAGAGCATCAAAGAGGTTGATAAATCTGCCAAAGAAAGTTCGATGGGGATAATTTCAGCTCTGACACCTTTTGCATCATACCAATTGGGATTGCATCAGGGCCCTGTCCAAATTTTGGGGATGACAAGATCACTACTGTTTATACAGGGTAGAGGAGCAACAAGAAGGCTGATAAATCTGCCAAGGAAAGTTCGATGAGGTTACCTATCAGCTCTGACACCTTTTGCATCATACGATTTGGGATTGCATCAGGGCCCTGTCAGATATTGGGAACAACAAAAGCACCCTTGTTTAGATACTGTGGTATACAGGGTAGAGGAGCATCAAGGAGGTTGATAAATCAGCCAAGAAAAGTTCGATGATGAGGAGCACTGACACCTTTTGTATCATGCCATTTTGGATTACATCAAGGCCCTGTCAGATATTGGGAACAACAAAAGCACTCTGGTTTAGATACTGAGGTATACAGGATAGAGGAGCATCAAGGAGGTTGATAAATCTGCCAAGGAAAGTTCGATGAGGATGCGGAGCACTGACACCTTTTGTATCATGCCATTTGGGATTGCTTCGGGGCCCTGTCAGATATTGGGAACAACAAAAGAACCCTTGTTTTGATACCAGGGTGTACAGGGTAGAGGAGCATCAAGGAGGTTATTCTTCTCTTAAGAAGAAATGTGTTCCTTGTTTATTAAAAATTTATAGTCCGACTCCGGCAGACGGTGGATAACCATAGCTGTTTGGTTATGTACAATTTTTTTCTTTTCCTCTCTTTTGTTTATCTAATAAAGTACTTTTTCATTCATTCATTCATTCAATAGTCAATGCCCCTTTCTATGTATCCAATTACACCATCCATACCGACCTAAATGTCCCTCTTGTTACCGAGCTAGCCCAATCCCGCTACAAAACGTTCCATTCCAAACCCCATCATCCGAACTCTTTCGTCAAAAACCTGTCATCCATCACATTACTTAATAATCCCAACAGAAGACTGAAGCGTCGGTGGCCCCGCGACAACCTTAACAATTGACATCGGTCTCCTACGATGGAGTACATCTCGCTCATCGTATTGATTAACTAACGGCTACCATCACTGGATGGTAATTGTTCAAGCTTTCACGCTACTGTTAATAATTTTATATGTTAATACTATCTGTTTTACTTGTTGCGTCGAAGAATGCAGTTGTACAAAACATATAAAAAGTAAAAAAAAAAGTGAAAAAGAGTTAATTTTTATTGCATTAAAGAAAGTGTTAATTTGAATTTCAAAAGTTACTTTGAAGTCAAAAAGAGTTCAGGTGACAAAAAAGCTACATATTTCACACCGTCTCCTAGTTTTTCTTGCATTAAAGAAAGCGTTTTCCTAAGTGTTTTATTGCTTGAAAAAATGATTAATTTGAAATTTAAAAGGAAAAGTACCGTGGTAGCCGAGTGGTTAGCGTCAGAGACGCCGCGGTCGTGAGTTCGATTCCCATCGTCGCCTCTGGGCTTTTTTCAACGATCCTCCCCCTCGTCAATACGCATATAATAATCATCACCTTGGCTAAATATGGATCGAACATAAAACCATTAAAAAAAGGTGTGTGCCATTAAAAAAAAGAAAGAAAGTATTAATTTCAACTTAAAAGGTAACTTTGAAGTCAAAATGAGTTCATGTGACAAAAAAACTATCACATTTCCTAGTTTTCATCGCATTAAAGAAAGTGCTAATTTGAAATTAAAAAGTTAGTTTAAAGTCAAAAAGAGTTCTTACGATAAAAAGCTACATATTTCGAACTATCTCCTAATTTTTATTGCTTAAAAAAAGGTTAATTTGAAATTAAAAAGTTAGAGTAAATTCAAAAAGAGTTCATGTGACAAAAAAGCTACATATTTCACACCATCTCCTAGTTTTTGGCATCAAAGAAGTGCTAATATGAAATTAAAAAGTTAGTTTAAAGTCAAAAAGAGTTCATACGATAAAAAAGCTACATATTTCAAACCCTCTCCTAATTTTTATTGCTTAAAAAAAAGGTTAATTTGAAATTAAAAAGTTAGAGTAAAGTCAAAAAGAGTTCATGTGGCAAAAAAAGCTACATATTTCTTATCATTTCCTAGTTTTCATCGCATTAAAGGAAGTGTTAATTTCAAATTAAAAAGTTACTTTGAAATCAAAAAGAGTTAATGTGATAAAAAAAGCTACATATTTCATACCATTTCCTATGTTTTTATGGCTTAAGAAAAGGTTAATTTGAATTTTTATAACTTAATGCGAATTAAAAATGGTTAATTTGATGGGAGAAGAGCTATTTTCTATAAAATATTGAATATGGTAAAATATAATTTCTACAGATTAAAAAAACTATTATTGTTTTTAGGGGTTTAAGTTCTACTTTATAAAAGGAAATAAAACCTACGAAACGTAGGCCAATAAATATACAAATGTTGAGTAAAATCTAGAAGTTCTAATCCCATTCCCAAAACAACTGTCAATAATTAAAAAAGCCACATCTTAATTAAAATACTATTTATGGATAATGAAATTACCATGGAGATAACATTAGTCAGTGAAGCCCCTTTCTATGTATCCAATCACACCATCCATACCGACCTAAATGTCCCTTTTGTTACCGAGCTAGCCCAATCCCGCTACAAAACGTTTCATTCCAAACTACTCCACCATCCGAACCCTTTCGTCAAAAACCTGTCATCTACCACATTACATAATAATCCCAACAGAAGAAGCGTCGGTGGCCCCGCGACAACCTTAACACCTGACATCGGTCTCCTAGGACGGAGTCCACCTCGCTGATCGTATTGATGTACTAACGGCTGCCATCACTGGATGGTAGCTGTTTAAGCTCTGCTGCTACTCTTGATCGCAACAGCAGAGGTTATATAAACCCTCGAGGTGCCGGTGTTTTTGAAAACTGCAGGGCCGCTGGATTCGAACCCGGGACCTTTAGCTTACAATGATGAGCTCCTGTGCCTAAACCGTTGCGGCCCCCTTCATGCTACTGTTATAATTGTTTATATGTAAATATTATATGTTTTACTTGTTGCGTCGAAGAATGCAGTTGTAAAAAATAAATAAATAACGAAAACACCTTAAAAAGAAAAGAAAATATAGTAAACTACTATATAAAGAATAAATTCACTAATTTCGTGGTCCGCTTGACCAATTAATAAATGACAATTAATTAAGGTTTTTAGTTGAGATGAAAAAAAGTTAATGGCACGAGAGGGATTCGAACCCACGACCTTCGGCTAGATACACCGCTGCTCTACCACCTGAGCTATCGTGATCTCGATCCACTCGGACACCAACTCCCCATCTCAACCCCACCTTTTGAGTTTTCCCTCCTTTTGCCATTTTTCAAAGAAGAATAAAGAATAAAGTTTTTAAGAGTTCTCTGCGAATTTGTAAAGATTCTTGCATTAACTACAAAAATAAACGAAAAATAACACTGTTGTTAACTATATATTTAACTTAAACTTCCGACACATAGAAATTTTATTGATGCATATCCCATATTACGAGCTAAGGCGCCAACTAAAAATACCAGGCACGGAAAATTAGCCACGAATGGCCATTAAAGCATGTTTTTCTGATTCGATTTAGTGCTCATTTCCTTACAGTCGGTCTTATAGAGAGGTTCCAAATCGTCCGTAAGTTTACGAAAATATAAAAAAAAATTCAATATTTCGGAAGGATTGGAAATAATAATAACATTGTTTTTGTCTAGATTAAAACTTATATTATATTTATAAGAAAATAGGAAGTTTTTCAATTCAAATAGATCAAAAACAAAGCATACGATTGCATGTTGTATATCCTTAAGTGTATTTTAATATTTTTTATCGTTAATTTGGACGTAAATTTGGTATATAAAAATTTGAAAAATTTCTATTTTAATTTATGTAAGCTAAAGACAAAATTTAAAAATTTTGCCTCGGACTTCTTACTTTATAGAGAGAATATGCATCGATGTATTGGAATGTATAGTAAAGTCAACAGTTTAAATAAAATGATGGGATCAAGAATGCTCTCTTGTGGGACGCCGGATTGTTGGTCATTCTGACTTCTTTGATTAAACATTTCAGGGATGGAGGGTGGTAAAACGTATATGTTTGACTGGTTCGAGTACCTGGTGTTCATCCTGATGCTCGGCATATCCGGTGTTATAGGGTTTTATTACGGATTTATTAAGACGAGCCCGGAAACAGTTTTCAACTACTTATTCGGAGGGAAAAAGATGACGACATTTCCCATCGCCATGTCCCTCATTTCTTCGTAAGAATCGACTGGATGTATTTAAACGTTTCAAAAATATACAGCCGAATTTATTCTTTCAGAGTCATATCAGGCGTGACACTTTTAGGCGTGCCTACAGAAGTTTACGTCTACGGAACGCAATACATGGCCACGGCGATATCCGTAGTCGCAAGCGGATTCATAACCGCTTACATAGTGATACCTATGTTTTTCAAACTCCAGCTCAATTCTATGTACATGGTCTGACTTTTTGTAAACTTTCATATTTACGTTTTTGTCCCAATTTTTATTTACACTTTTAATTTTTGTGTTGTAGTATTTTGAGTTACGTTTTAGCCGTAGCGTGAGAACTCTAGTTTCTCTGACGAATGTTATCTCCATGGTAATTTCATTATCCATAAATAGTATTTTAATTAAGATGTGCTTTTTTTAAATATTAACAGTTGTTTTGGGAATGCGATTAGAACTTCTAGATTTTACTCAACATTTTTATATTTATTGGCCTACGTTTCGTAGGTTTTATTTCCTTTTATAAAGTAGAACTTAAACCCCTAAAAACAATAATAGTTTTTTTAATTTGTACAAATTATATTTTACCATATTCAATATTTTATAGAAAATAGCTCTTCTCCCATCAAATAACCATTTTTAATTCATATGAATTTATAAAAATTCAAATTAACCCTTTATTTATTGCTGTAAAAATTCGGAGATGGTTTGAAATATGTAGATTTTTTTATCGTATAAACATTTTTTGACTTTAAACTAACTTTTTAATTTCAAATTAGCACTTTCTTTAATGCAAAAAACTAGGAGATGGTGTGAAATATGTAGCATTTTACGTCACATGAACTCTTTTTGACTTCAAAGTGACTTTTTAATTTGAAATTAGTACTTCCTTTAATGCGATGAAAACTAGGAAATGGTATGAAATATGTAGCTTTTTTGTCACATGAACTCTTTTTGACTTTAAACTAACTTTTTAATTTGAAATTAACACTTTCTTTAATGCGATGAAAACTAGGAAATGGTATGAAATATGTAGCTTTTTTGTCACATGAACTCATTTTGATTTTAAACTAACTTTTTAATATCACATTAGCACTTCTTTGATGCCAAAAACTAGGAGGTGGTGTGAAATATGTAGCTTTTTACGTCACATGAACTCTTTTTGACTTTAAGTTACCTTTTAAGTTGAAATTAACACTTTCTTTCTTTTTTTTCTTTTTTTTTAATGGCACACATCTTTTTTTAATGGCGTTATGATCGATCCATATTTAGCCAAGGTTATGATTATTATATAAGTATTGACTTGGGTGGTGGACGTGAAAAAAGCCCAGAGGCGACGATGGGAATCGAACCCACGACCGCGGCGTCTCTCACGTTAACCACTCGGCTACCGCGGTACTTTTCCAAAACTTTTCCTTTTAAATTTCAAATTAACTATTTTTTCAAGCAATAAAACACTTAGGAACACGCTTTCTTTAATGCAATAAAAACTAGGAGACGGTGTGAAATATGTAGCTTTTTTGTCACATGAACTCTTTTTGACTTCAAAGTAACTTTTGAAATTCAAATTAACACTTTCTTTAATGCAGTAAAAATTAACTCTTTTTCACTTCAAACTTATTTTTAATTTCAAATTAACTCTTTCTTTAATTCAATAAAAATTAGGAGATGGTTTGAAATATGTAGCTTTTTATCGTATGAACTCTTTTTTGACTTTAAACTAACTTTTTAATTTCAAATTAGCATTTTTTAGCCTTTTTTGTCACATTCATGAACATATGCCATTTTTGTTTAAATATAAAATTATTGGGCTTTTATGAAACCGCTTGAAAATTGCAATTAAAAATACGAATTATGCAAAAATAAATATAAAAATAAAGGATTCTTCTTTTAATTTCAAAACTAAAAAGTAAAAACATAACACCACATGAAAATTTGTACCACATGTTATATATACTTTAAAGAAAGCGTTAATTTGAAGTTAATAAGTGTGACACGGGGGGCGTCGGTGGCCGTAACGGTTTAGGCATTGATACGGCGCTCATCACTTTAAGGTAAAGGTCTCGGGTTCGAATCCAGCGGCCCTGCATTCGAACCCGACATAATTACAAATTTTTTTTTTCAAAAACACCTTGAGGGTTTATATGACCTCTGCTGTTGCTAAATAATAAAAAAAGACATCTTAACATCTTAAAGAAAATTTAATCCGAAATTAAAAAGCCTTAGTTTGTAGTTAAAAATGGATCATTTGAAGTTAACAAAGGTTATTTTGATGTTGAAAAAGGTTACATGTTTATACTACATACCATCACTTACATTTTTATTGCTTTAAAGAAATGTTTAATTTGACATTAAACAGGGCCTCATACTTATTCTTCTTCATACCATCTCCTAAATTTTGTTTAATGATTTAAAGACAAATTTAATCTGAATTTAAAAAGCGTTAATTTGTAGTTAAAAATGGATCATTTGAAATACAAAGGTTATTTTGAAGTTAACAATGGTTAATTTGAATAAAATAAGAGTTGAAATGACGAAAAAATCTATATATTTCATACCATCTTCTAATTTTTTTTATTGATTTATAGGAAAGGTTAATTTGAAGTTAAAAAGGATTACAAACTTACACTTTATACCATCTCCTAAGATTTTTTTAATTTAAAGGTCAATTTGAAATTTAAAATAATTAATTTGTAGTTAATTAGGTTTGATTTGAAATAAATTGGATTAATCTAGTATATACTATTTTACTGACTTTAAATACATTGTGAGACCTGGTATTTTTATTTTTTGGCTCCTTTTTTAATTTTTTTTAAAATCTTATGCTAGTATTTACATTAAAATATATACAATTGAGTAAAAATAAAAAGATTCTGACTGCATTCCCAAAACAAGCAGAAAGAAAATCCTGATTGCTGATTACAGATATGCTACATGCCGGTAGTCATTTACGCGCCCAGTTTGGCTATTAACCAGGGTAGATTTTAAATTGTAACAATAATTGATTTGTTTTTAAATAAAAGGAGTTTATTTTGTAGTTTCAGGTATAAACGTGCACATCATCACGTCTTGTCTCTGTTTATTTTGTATCTTTTACACGACTACGGTAAGTTTGCATCATGGACTTGATAAATTTCGTTCGTTTTCGATCATGATTTATGAAGTCGGCAAGAAACTGAAAATGCTGACAGACCAAAACATAGAGAGCAGGATAAAAAAGTTTTTTTTTTCTAGGGTGGACTGAGGGCAGTCGTCTGGTCCGATACACTTCAAGGAGGGTTGATGTTCTTATCCATGATGGCCGTGGTTTTCACCGGAACATGGAAACTCGGCGGTTTCGGGCACGTTTTCAAAACGGCCTTCGAAGGAGACCGGATAGAATTTTTCAAGTAAGACTTTCAGGACTCGTTCGATGTGAGCGATTGAAAATTTGAATTTCAGCATGGATCTAGATCCGACGTTGCGAATTTCATTCTGGTCTACGACCATCGGCTCGACGTTCTTAACTCTGAGCATTGTATCAATCAATCCGTCTACGATCCAGCGTTTCATTTCACTGCCCGACATGAAACAAGCACAACGGTAAATCTTTGAAAAAAAAATTTAAGTCGAGACTTATTGTATTTTCCTAGGTCCATGTTTCTGTTTGTCTTAGGCATAATAACCCTGAATTCTTTAAGCGGATTGATCGGTTTAATTATATACGCTTATTATAAAGACTGCGATCCTTATGAGAACAAAGTGCGTAATCGGAGTTTTAAACATATATAAAAAATAAAATTAAGAAAAATATTTTTCCAATTTTATTTAGGTGATTCAACGTTCTGATCAACTTCTGCCCTTGTTTGTAGTCGAGGTTGTTGGAAATTTCAAAGGTTTGCCTGGGATTTTTCTGGCCGGGGTGGTTTCCGCCGGCCTGAGGTAAAATCCAACTATAAATTGTATTAAAAAAAAAATGCAAAAAATAATTGTAAATTTCAGCACTTTCTCAACCGGGCTCAACACTTTGGCCGGTTTGCTCAGCGAGGATTTCATACTGCCATGGTTTAAACTGAAACAGGACGAAAATGGCAGTCAAATTTTGAAAATATTAGTTATAATTCTAGGCGCCGTTTCCCTTCTTTTTATCCTTGTTATTGAAAAATTAGGCAGCATTTTGGAAACTGCTATCAGTTTCAGTGGAATGACACCCGGAATTATTCTAGGACTTTTTATCCTAGGGGCTTTCTTTCCTACAGCAAACACAAAGGTAAATATTAAAAAAAAAAATATTTTTTTGGTTTTTTTTTTTAAGTTTTACTTTAAAGGGTGCATCGTGTGGAGCTTTGGCCAGTTTGTCCCTCATGGCTTGGATACTCATAGGAAGACAGTTGGCAAACGCTCGTGGGCTTATGCACTACCCTAAACTGCCCGTAAGCACGGACGGATGCCTTTTCAACACGACCGCCGATTCACTTGCTAAGTGTGTATTCCATGTTTTAAAACCCGTTTGCATAAAGTAACAAATAAATTTTCAGGACCGGCATTGACGATTACGTCTTCCCTTTGTACAAAGTGTCGTTTTTCTACTACAGCCTTATCGGTTGTACGGTCGTCCTTGTTGTCGGACTTGTCGTCACGTATTTGACGGGACCGAATCGAATCGGGGATGTGAGCCCGAAACTTCTCTCGCCGCTTATTTACGGTTGTTTACCCGATGACGTTAAAGATATAAGTGTATATTTGCAAAACATCGAGAGACCGACAAACAACCAATAAAAACATTTTCAAGAATTCTTAGTAAATTTTTACTAAGATAATAAATTAAATTAAATATGCTTAATTTATGTTTTTACAGAAAAAACAGTCATCATATTCATCGATATTTGAAAATAAACATAAAAAATCAAGTATTATGACTGGTTAATGTGAATTGTTAAAAAAAAGATTGTTTTAAGGTGCTTAAATTTCTAAATGATTGTAAAGTTGAAGGTCAAATTAAACATTATAACTTGTTTTCTTTAATTTTTGTCTACCAATACTCTGGCACATTCATTAAAGAAAAAAGAAAGGCAAGATAGAGATTATGGAATAATATACATATATTGATAGATAGGTAGACAGATAGATAGACTGAGGGAGAGAGAGGGAGAGAGAGAGAGAGAGAGAGAGAGAGAGAGAGAGAGAGAGAGTGAGAGAGAGAGGGAGAGATGGAATGACGCAGTGAAAGAGAGGGAGAAAGAGAGAGAGAGAGAGAGAGAGAGAGAGAGAGTAAGNGGAATAACTTTATTTTGGTGGTCAATATGTTCCATTTATTTGTTTTACATTGATCTTAACTTAAATTTGCTTAAATAGGTTTCTCAATTTACATAATAATTGATCAATCAAAAGGCAAATTACTAATAAAATAAGTGAACAAACATAATTTTCAATACAATGCAGTAGAAACAATGAATACATAACATCACCAATATAAATCTACAAATAAAACTTTACTCACTAAATAGTAATATAAACAAAAAACCAAAACAACAAAAGAATTACAAATAATTAAGGTTTTTAGTTGAGATGAAAAAAGTTAATGGCACGAGCGGGATTCGAACCCAGATCTTCGGCTAGAAACGGCGCTGCTCTACCACTTGAGCTATCGTGACCTCGATCCTCTCGGATATCAACTTCCTATCTCAACCCCACCTTATGAATTTTCACTCCTTTTGCCATTTTTCAAATGTCGTGTAACGTTTTATACAGAAAAACAGTAATGATGATATTCCTCGGAACTTGAAAACAATATTTACTGAGGTCATGTTGTAGGCAAGCATTCCAAAGGCACAAAGGCAGTACAAGACAACGGTATCCTGTGCGACTATTGAAAAGGACCAATCTCTACGGACTTGATAGTACTGTAGCTAACTAGATTAGTAGTAGTAGGTAACTAGGTTAGTACTGTAGCTAACTGCAGTCTACGTATGAAGTTATTAAAGGCTAACCTTTAATAATAAGGATCAGGTTGTACTTTTTCAAACTGATAAGAAATAGAACTGGGTTTAAGGTGTTGGTTAGGTTTTCGATTAAAGAAAGGGAATAAATTTTGATATATCACATCGTTTTATTGCTGCCAGTTTATACAGGAAAATCACTGATGATGGTACAGAGGGTAGTGGTGGACGGCGTGTCCGACCCTCTTGACTTCGGCGTTGAAACCGTTGTGTTTGTCAGCTGTGTAATGGACTTCCCTGATAGTACCGTCGGGTTCTTTCAGCATGTAGAATCCCTTGACTTTGTCCCCTTCCCTGGTCTCGTGTTGGCTCTTGTAGTCGCCTGTGTGCTTGTCTTCAACTTTGTACTCGTAGCTGTAATGAGGAGGAGCCTGGAACAAATACAAAAAAACACTGTAAACTCAAAGAATGTTGGAGTGATGTCCTCGGCGTACATAGTAGTCGACGTGTTCGTGGCCTCCTTCTCCACCGTAGAGGGCAGAAGCGACAGCCATGCAGGCAGCAAGAACAACGAATAATTTCATTTTTTCTTCAAGTTTGGATTGTCAGAACCAAATCAAGACTGATTATCACATGAGCTGGTCAAGCTTATATAGTCATTTCTCTTCCCGCCCTGAGTAATTTTATTATATCATTACCAAATAGTTTACGCCTCTTTGATTCAGTTACCTCATATTCCTTTCGAACTGGTCTTAATTACCAAATCATTAACATGATATTGGTAACTGTTTGCACACCTCATTATATTAAAAAAAAAAAATTCAAAACGAGCTACGATTTTTCTTTATAATAGACCTTGTTTTTTGTGATAGCTTAAAGTGAAATTTTAGGCTTCCAATAATCACAATCAATTACACCACTAAAAAGGATATTAAATACAGTACGTTTTCTGAAATTTGCTGTTCTCTAGGTTTGGAACTAGTAGTTTAGAATCACTATAGTATGTTTTGAGATTGAAATTTTTTTTTTCTTTCAAAGTTCTGGTTTTACCAAAGTTTACAAGTTTAGTATTGAACACATCTTATTGGAATTTTACGCAGTTTTCAATTTTATCAACGGATTTGTCCAAAACCTTTAAGTTTTGGAGTCATCGTTGTTTATTTGAAGTAAGATCGTGAAATCTTAAAAAATCAGAAAAAGGAAAAACTCCAAAATTGTTGAGATTCGGAATGAGAATGGCCACAGTTGGCTAAAAATTTAAACTAGTTATACACAAAATTGCACCCACTTAAAACCCAAATTGCCCCAAACTGGTGTAATCGATAGAATGGCTCAAATTACCCTGTCACGAGAAAAATACATAAAAGTGTTAAATACCATAAAAAGCTGTGAAGAATAGCTTTAACTACAATAACATGGACACTCTAACTAGCAAAACGACTCTAGAAACTGCTGGTAAGTGACACAAGGCACCTTAAAGAAATAAAAGATTTTCGGGGCTTCTCTCGATTGGAGAAAAATAAATAAATAAAAAATAAAAGCGTCATACGAAAACAATCATACATTAGGAAAAATGATGTACAAACACCAAAACAACCCCCTCAAGATTTTAATATTCGGTTTTCTATTAATATTCTGCTAATAAAAATAATAAACTTTCATTGGAAATATATGTGCTACTTGCCAAAAATGGAAAATACCAAAGAAATCCTTACACCTTTTTTCATTTTCGCAGATTATTCTTGAGCTGTCAGTTGATTTGAAAAGAATATTGATGAAAGTAACATGTAAGATTATTTATAATTTTTATGTAAAGCGTGGATTAACGTAATATGATAGTACAATTAATTAAGGTTTTTAGTCGAGATAAAAAAGTCAATGGCACGAGCGGGATTCGAACCTACGACCTTCGGCTAGATACGNTCTTTTTTTTCTTTACCATCATCTTTTGCACAGCTTCGCACTATTTTAACTCTATAAATTATAGAATACATTTGACTTTTAATAGTCGTCATTTGATCATTCTAATTTGAAAAATGGCAAAAGGGAGGGAAAATTCAAAAGGTGTGGTTGAGATGGGAAGTTAGTGTCTGAGTGGATAGAAGACAAGTGGTAGAGTATCGGCGTATCAGGCTGAAGGTCGTGGTTCGAATCCCGCTCGTGACTACCTTTTTCATCTCAACCAAGACCAAGACACTTGAGCTTCTCAACCTACCTTTCGAATTTTCCCTCCTTTTTGACATTTTTCTAATGCCGTGTTCTAATTCAAAAGGTGTGGTTGAGATGGGAAGTTGATGTCCGAGTGGATCGAGGTCACGATAGCTCAAGTGGTAGAGCAGCGGCGTATCAAGCCGAAGGTCGTGGGTTCGAATCCCGCTCGTGCTATTGACTTTTTATCTCAACTAAAAACCTTAATTAATTGTAATTCTAATTTAAATTTTTTGTTAACGTAAGTCGCAAAAATTTAACTTGTTCTTCACATTCAGGGATATTGTTATTTATTTGAACGTGGATACAGAAAAAACAAAAAGAATGAGCAATATGAAGAAAAAATAACAGCCAAAGGTTGATAGAGAGGGAGGAAGAGAAAGATATAGTCAAAGGACGAAAAAAACAAGGAACAGAATATAGATGAATAAACATAGATAAAGACAAATGTAGAAAAAAATAGATATAGAAAGATTAAGAATGTGTGTATATGTGTTGGTGTGTGTGAGAGAAAGAGAGATGGAAAATGCAAAAAATAGAATATGAGCGAGCTATAAAGACCAGCAGCCACCAGCATGATAAAGAGGAAAAGAGAGAGTGGGAGAAAGAGAGAAAGATAGATTGAGCGAGCGAAAGAAAGCAAGGGTGAGCGAGAGAGAGAGAGAGAGAGAGAGAGAGAGAGAGAGAGAGGAAAAAAGAGAGGGCAAATGAGATTTTTCTCTTTTATTTATTTATTAGTGTGTAGTTTACGCCATTTTTTTTCCTGAAAAACGAGACAGATGGAACGAGAAAAAGAGAGCACGAAGGTATAGAGAGAAAATAAAATAAAAATAAAGGGGGGTTTGGTTAGAGCCAAGATCACATTTGATGAATCTGGTTCACTAACCACTGTAAGGACATACCGTCACCCCGTATTCGGTGGCACTTGGGATGTCCGATTTTTCCAAAAAAAAATTCAACCCAGGACATTTGTCGAATTTGAACTTCAAAGCATGACCGGTGATAAGAGACCAGGGAAGATGGTTGCATTCAAGACGGCCACTTGAACGGGACGAAATTGCCCTCTCCACGACCATCCCCGTATCTCAGACGTAGACACGTGAAATCGCGTATCTTCTGTATTCGATACCGCAGACGGAAGAGTGCAGACGCAGTATCAAAACCAGGAGAAAACGGGCCCACAGTAACAAAAGGTATTTTACACTTTGCATTACTATTCGCACTTTTTTAAAAACGGAAATTTAATGTTTTTTCAAAAAAAAAAAAATCCATTATTACGCTTTACTTGACTATCTAAAAAAAGTCTAGTTACTTACTAGCCTATAATTTAAAGGCAGGATTAAACAAAATGATATCAGGCACAATTCAAAATGGCCAAATTGGGGAAGTGATTGGAAAAAATGTTCAACAATTAAAAAAAAAAACAAAAAACAAATAAATGTGAGAAATTGTAACATATTAATATAAAATTATTTATTTATTTATGGCCAATCTAATTATTTTTTACTTAGAAATCTTGAAATTAAAAACAAAATGAAGTCATTTATGCTGTAAAATGACTGTAATAAAAAAATGTTTTCACTTTATTTTTAAACCAACATGAGCTATCGACATGTTAAAAAAATATAACAAATAGTAAAGATGTGGTTCGTAAATAATAAATGTACCAATTGACCACGTCATTGCAAATGGCGAGAGTCAGTAATTGACGTTTTCAGTCATCCAGCCAGTTGCAGTCTCAGTAGGAAGGAGGCTAATTCTTCTTTTGTGAATACCTCCTTGACTTGATATGTCAATTATGGTTAAATTATTACATTTAAGCGCTTAAACTTTCAAGTGAAGTTGTTTGATTGACTTTTTTGACGAAACAGAACCTTTATGTAAGTGGATTTTTGTTCGATTCCTTCCAGTCATCAAAATGTCACCACTGAAAACTTTCTGCTAAAATAAATAATATATTAAAAAATATAATATAGATTACATATAGATCTCTAGTTACATAATAAAAAGATAATTTTCTGTTTTGGAAAATAAATAACACACATAAGTAAACATGTATGAACAACACTTTTGGAAGGAAACATGGGCAGACTGAATCTCGCTTTCTTTCACTCTTCTCTCTAAATTTTACAGCTTAATATAAATATTTTGTAGTTTGAGTACAAAGCTTTGAGTTCAAGTTCTTTCGCAATATTCTCTGTCTGTCTGGCTTTCTCTCTCTTTCTCTCTTCTCTCACGTTAAGTGGAAAAAAGGTTCACGAGACCTAACTTTTCGTGATTAAATAAAACGTTTAATCAATCAATCAATCCCCTTACTTTTTCTTTTTCTACCTGTCTTACTCTCTTTTTCTCTCTACCTGACTCTCTCTTATTTTTCTCTCTTACTCTCCTTCTCTTTATCCCTCTAAATCAATCACTGTCTATTTAACTAACTTTTCATCTAACTATTGCGAGTATTTTAATAAATAAATCGTTAATCTATCAATCTCTATTCCTCTCTCTCTCTCACTCTCTCTCTCTCTCTGTCTTACTCTCACTATTAGTTTCTCTCTCTCTCATATACTCACTCTCTTTTTCTCTCTCTCTATCCCTCTCAATCAGTCACTATTTATCTAATTAACTTTTGACCAAACCTTTGCGTGTATTTTAATAAATAAATCGTTAATCAATCAATCAATCTCTATTCCTGTCTCTCTCTGTCTCACACTCACTATTCATCTCCCTCTCTCTTACATACTCTCCCACTCCCCCTTCTCTCTTTTTTTCTATCTATCTTACTCTCTTTTTCTCTCTGCCTCACTTTCTCTTATTTCTCTCTCTCTCTGTTTCACACTCATTATTCCTCTTTCTCTTTCACACATTCTCTCTTTCTCTCCCTCTCTCTCTCTCACATTAAGTGGAAGAAAGGTTCACGAGACCTAATTTTGAGTGATTAAATAAAACGTTTAATTAATCAATCAATTAATCCCCTTCGTTTTTCTTTTTCTAACTATCTTACTCTATTTTTCTCTCTGCATTACTCTCTCTTATTTCTCTCTCTTTTTCTCTCACGTTAAATAGAAAAAAGGTTCACGAGACCTAACTTTCCGTGATTAAATAAAACGTTTAATCAATCAATCAATTCCCTTCCTCTCTCTTTTTCTCCCTATCGTACTCTCTTTTTCTCTCTGCCTCACTCTCTCTTATTTCTCTCTCTCTCTCTTCCCTTCTCAATCAATTACTATCTATCTAATTAACTTTTGACCTAACTTTTTTGTATGTTTTAATAAATAAATCGTTAATCAATCAATCAATCTCTATTCATATCTCTCTCTGTAGCACTCTCACTATTGATCTCCCTCTCTCTCACATACTCTCTCTCTCTCCCCCTTCCCCTCTCTTTTTCTACCTATTTTATTCTCTTTGCCTCACTTTCTCTTATTTCTCTCTCTCCTTCTCTATTTCTATCTCTCTTTGTCTCACACTCATTATTCATCTTTCTCTCACACATACTCTCTCTCTCTCTCTCTCTCTCTCTCTCTCTCTCACGTTAAGTGGAAGAAAGGTTCACGAGACCCAATTTTGAGTGGTTAAATAAAACGTTTAATTAATCAAATCCCCATGCTTTTCTTTTTCTACCTATCTTACTCTCTTTTTCTCTCTGCCTCACTCTCTCTTATTTCTCTCTCTTTTCTCTCTCTTTTTCTCTCTCCTTCCTCTCTCTTTTTATCTCTCCCTTCTCTCTCTCTCTCTCTCTCTCTCTCTCTCTCTCTCTCTCTACCCCTCTCAATCAATCAGTATCTAGCTAATTAACTTTTGACCAAACTTTTGCGCGTATTTTAATAAATAAATCGTTAATCAATCAATCTATATTCTTGTCTCTCTCTGCCTCACTCTTACTATTCATCTCTCTTTCTCTCTCACACACATACTCGATTTCTCCCTCTCTTCCTCACTCTTTTTTTCTCTCTCGCTATTCCTGTCTTTCTCTGTTTAAATCTTACTATTCCTCTCTTTAGTGGTTACTGTTGCTGTACTTATGTGCATATTCACAATAAATGCTTATAGTGTTTCATTTTATTTAATTATTTAATCGTTTTTTGAAAATTTAAATCTTGAATGATAAACAAAATTGTGATAAGAGTGCTGTTATTGAATGTTGAATTTATTAAATTAATTAAATTGTTCAATGTAATGAATTACGTATAGATTTCGTAGAATTACAAACGTGTATTACATATTTGTTATATCCAGGTTTCTAAATGATAAAAGTAATATTATTATTTACTGAGTTTTAGAACTATGAGTTAATTTATTATTGCACTTTGTACGGAATTTCATTTGTTTCTATTATTTTTTTATTATGTTAATATTTAAACATAGTAAATTAAATTGTTAAAGGAAAAAACAAGTAAATGTACTTTAAATTTAGAGGTGTTCGCCGGAAGTAAAAAATGGAAGAAAGAAACGACTTATGTGTCCTATGCTGTACATTTGTTACATAAAATTATCAACTATCTCACTCCTCTATCTAAAAAATATAAACTTGATATAAATATTTTCCAGTTTGAATTATAGTCACTTTTTTACTGAATCCTTCTCTCTCAATATTCTCAATCTATCTATCTTACAATTTTCTAAAGTTTTCTCCCTACCTTGAGTATAGCACTCGCCGGTTTACATATATATGCAGTAAATTATTTAAAAAAAAAAATTGCAGTGTTGAAGGTCGCCAGGCAGACACGAAATATTTACGATTTTGATAAAAGACAATTGTGCGCCTGAGTCTTAAACTAATATAAAATTGTGTGCTAATCTCCACTACTGGACTACTGTGTCCCCGTTTTATACTTACGACGTAAAAATAAGTGGACGATAATTTTGTAATACTAAAATTATTTCCAACGACACATTTTAATTAGAATTTATCCAATTGGATTTGGAAAAGAGCGAGAGAGAGAGAGAGAGATAGAGATAGATAGATAGATAGATAGATAGATAGATAGATAGATAGATAGAGAGAGAGAGAGAGAGAGAAAGTGAAGTAAAGTAAACAAGACAGGTGAGAAAAATAATAGATAGATAGATAGATAGATAGATAGATAGATAGATAGATAGATAGATAGATAGATAGATAGAGAGAGAGAGAGAGAGAGAGAGATAGAGAGGAGAGAGAGAGAGAGAGAGAGAGAGAGAGAGAGAGAGCAGGAGAAAGCCAGAAAAAGAGAATAACAAAGTATAATAACTGTAAGTGATAGAAATTGGGGGTTCAGCTACATGTAAATCCATTTCCAGGGGGCATCTTATGAAACTGCTTGAAAATTACAATTAAAAATAAAAATTATGGAAAAATATATATAAAAATAAAGGATTCTTCTTTTAATTTCAAAACTAAAAACATAACACCACATGAAAATTTGTACCACATGTTATACATACTTTAAAGAAAGCGTTAATTTGGAGTTAATAAAGTGACATGGGGACGTCGGTGGCCGCAACGGTTTAGGCGTTGATACGGCGCTCATCACTGTAAGGTAAAGGTCCCGGGTTCGAATCCAGCGGCCCTGCATTCAAACCCTACAAACTTACAAATGGGCTTTTTCAAAACACCGGCACCCCGGGGGTTAATATAACCTTTGCTGTTGCGAACCCTCGTTAAAAAAATCCATTTCCAAAAAGAAAGAGAAGAATAGATCGAGAAACTCAGAGCGAGAGAGTGAGAATGAGAGAGAGAGAAAAGAGTAGGAGAGGGTGAAAAAAATAATATGCTCAAGGGAGAGGGCGAGAGAGAGAGAGAGAGAGAGAGAGTGAAAGAGAGAGCAGGAGAAAGCCAGGAAAAGAGAATAACAAAGCATAGTAACTGTAAATGATAGAAATTAGGGGCTCAGCTACATGTAGAATCCAATCATTCCAGTTCATAAACCATCAGTAAATTGCAAACGCCTCTTTACACATACCAATTGTTACCTTTCACTATAACCTCAAAAAGCACTTGTCATCCAATTCCTCTTAGTACCTCAAGTTTGCCTTATTTCATAGCCAACTGAAGCACCTACAGTTCAGCAATGCCCTCGCGCTGTAACCATCACTTCCTCCTCTGAAAAGAAGCCAGTACTTTACTGAGATTGTTACTTATGAACCGTTCTTCCATCGCATCCATTTTGTTCGTGCTGGAGTCCCCAACGCCCCTAATCATCTCAATACTTCCTCAAGACATTCAGACATTTCTTTCCTTGCCGTTTGTTCCTTACAGTCTCATCTTACCCTTAGCATCTTAGCGGATAAAGATGCGTACGATAAAAGTTGAAGGTTCATTTCATTCAGGACCACAAACCTGATCCCTCTTCAACACTGAAAAAACTGGTCGATCTTCTCCGTAATATTCACCATCTGGTATTACGTCATGGCGTTTTATCAAGAAATCGAGTAACTCTCTGGTCAAGAATCCGCCCTGGTGATGCGACTGTATGTCGCGAAAGCCCGGTGAATTGTTTGCAAAATTTGTAACTTCCTGCAAGACCACAAACCTGATCCTCTTCAACGTTGAAAAAACTGGTCGATCCTCTCCGTAACATAAAAGTTAATGCCAGTATAGCCAGCCTTCCTGGGTTCCTCTATGAATTCTCTTTTGTCTAATAGACAGACGATCGGGTCTGGCACGCTGGGATCCTTGTAAACTCCTGTCAAGCCATCCTCCTACTAGATACTATGTCCTTTTAAAATCATACCTTCACTTCCATGTCTTCCGGATAACTGTTCGTTCCCATCCGTCCTATATTGGCAATAGCTCTCCCAACGTTGTAACCTCGGCCCTAACCTTTTCTTATTACGAAAGACTGCTGACATTCTGTTTTCTATGCCGTATTGCTAAAAAGAAGGAGAAACAGCGGAATTCAATGTGAAGACCTATGAAGGTTTAGTTTGCTACTCTTGGGAGAGGAATACCCTGATTCACAGTACTCTTATAAAATATTTCTTCTTCTTCAAGTGCCAGTCCTCGTACCACCAGTAGCCTGAACCGGTTTCGATCCAAAGCTATTCTAAATCGATCAGCTGTGTTCGCTGCGGACCATTGGCTTAAGTTCTTAAGGCAGAAGGTCCTTCTACGACCTGGGCCACACTTCCGATCTATTTTTCGTTGAATGATAACCTGCAGCAGATTCTATTTCTCATTACGCATTATGTGCCCAAAATATTGTAATTTTCTTCTTTTAATGATATTTAGGATTTCTAGGTTTTTATTCATACGCTGTAATACAGCCACGTTAGTGACTCTGGCTGTCCAAGGTATCTTCAGAATTCATCTGTACGTCCACATTTCGAATGCTTCCAGCTTCCGGCATAATGTATCAGTAAGGGTCCAAGTTTCTACCCCATAGAGACGTATAGGATCGAAGTATTCGAGTACGAAGCCTGATAGATAAGTCCCGGTTTGTCAAGTCCCTCATTTTCTGGAAGGAATTTCTATCTTGTTCAATTCTACAACGGATTTCGCATGCAGGGTCCCAGCTATCCTTGACATAACACCCCAAGTATTTATAAGATGATACTCTGTCAATTATCTCACTGCCAATTTTGAAAAGGTTCTGTGAAGCATTTTGTTTTTTACTGATAACTATCCATTTTGTCTTCTTTACGTTAAGTTGTAATCCTTTCAAATCTGCCAGATGGAAGCAGGACAGTGTCGTCAGCGTATCTTATGTTATTAACAAGAACTCCATTTACCTTCACACCTTGGTACTTTCCTTCCAGAGCATCCCGGAAAATTCTTTCTGAATAGATATTAAAAAGTATAGGTGAGAGAATACAACCTTGACGAACACCTTTCGTAATTGACACCTCTTCTAATATCTGACCATCAAACAGGACACCAGCACATTGATTTCAATACAAATTCCAAATCAACCTGATATCACGATTGTCTAGGTCCGGTACTTTAAGAATATTAAAGAAAAGCTTTGGTATCTAATAAAAAGCCTTAAGCTCAAAGCAATAATTATAATTGTTGATTTCAGGGAATGGACGAACACAGAGAGGTGTACGAGTTCGACTGGATCGAGTACACAGTCTTCGTGGTAATGCTATGTCTTTCAGCTTTCATCGGGTTTTATTACGGCTTTATAAAAGGAGGCCAGGACACAGTCTCCGGCTATTTGTTCGGAGGGAAGCAAATGTCACTTTTCCCCATCGCCATGTCTCTTGTTTCTTCGTGAGTATCCGCATTAATGCTCCTCTTCTGGAGTAAATTTTGACAATTTGCAGTTTCATATCCGGTATAACGCTTTTGGGCGTACCTGCTGAAGTTTACGTCTACGGGACACAGTACATGGTAGGGTCGACCGCCTTGATCGGTGTCGGCATCGTGACTGCTTACGTATCCATTCCAATTTTCTACAAACTCCAACTACTTTCTTTGTACGAGGTATGATTTATAATAAACAACATTCATACCTGATGTGTTTTTTGAAAATATTGTCCTTCTTGTAGTATTTCGAGTTGCGGTTTAACACAAAAGTGAGGCTAGTTGTGTCATTCCTGTTCATCTTCTCTCACGTAACGAAAAAAACCTATTGACATATCTACAATTTTCAATATAAATTATAGGCAATATGTTTTATGTTCTAGTTATGCTACATCCCTGTTGTTATATACACACCTGCTTTAGCGATTAACCAGAGTAAGGATTTAAATTAGTTTTTCCATTTCATCGCAGTTTATGTTCAATTTTTTTCTGTGACAGTTTCTGGTATCAACGTCCACATCATTACGCCTTTTCTCTGTTTGATATGCATCTTCTATACGACTGTGGTAAGTTTAAGTTAACAATTCAATTATTCAGGATCAGTTGATTTTTTCCCCCAGGGCGGGCTGAAAGCAGTCGTCTGGTCCGACACGCTCCAAGGAGGACTGATGATCTTCTCCATAATCGCTGTGGCATGGACTGGAGCTTGGAAAATGGGCGGTTTTGGAAATGTTTTCAAAGCGGCGTACGAAGGAGGAAGGCTACAAGCGTTTAAGTGAGTGTTTCTAAGAAAACGGAAAGGGCAGATTTTATATGCGTTTTGGTCTGGTGGGTTTGGAATAAATGGAGTCGCCACACCTTACTTATAGACCTGTCCATCAGACTGGCAAGACCAGATGATCATGATACTAGAAACTCTTGGTTTAGTATAATCTAGCTTATTGCACTTTTTCTAGTTCCTTAGTTCAGGTCAATTGACTCGATCTTTCTTATAAGAAGTAGATCATTGCCTGACATTGTTCCCGGGTCTTCTTGGTACGCTAGGTTAAGTATTTACTGGTCAGGTTGCTTCGTATTGGTAGTTTCTTCTCATTTTATAACCGACAAGTGGTTGTCATCATTGATTATAACCATATTACGCAGGTGTTTTCTCAGTTGCAAGGTACAGGTACATAGTCCTACTACTCCCTGAGTTTTACCATTTTAGAAAAGTGTTTGCCAGTTTTGGCTAATTGTTTCAAACCATGAGGTTAAATCTGGCACGTCTAAAATCGATCCATTTGGTTATCCATGCTTGTTGGTCTGTCAGACGGGTAAGTTACAGTGGTGGATATGGAATAAACTGAAGTGGTCGTTGCCTCTCCCAATTTTTGGTTCTGGGCCTGCAGTCGGTCTTTGAAGATCTTTCTCTTCTTCTTTGCTTGTTGGTTGATCATTACCTTTGTGTCCTGACAAGGTTGTTATATTTTTCTAAGTTTTGGATGCATTGACTGTCTATTTTGGATGTGGGATTTTTTTACTCATTGTTTGGTATCAACCTGATTGCTTCACCCTGTCTGTAACCATGTTCAACAGGCAATACTTGCGAGACTTGGTTCATTAGTACATTTTAGTTAGTCGAGATCAATCTTTAGCCGACAATTATTTGTTGATTAGTATAATAGTCTGGGATTATGACGGCCTACTTTTCCAAAGTCAGGGGATGCGGCATTTCGCGATCTTCAGTGGTTGGTTAAGGTTCTGATAAACATTAAACGTTTAAAAAAGGCCTCTACTGCCTTGACCACCTTGACCAATATTGATCTATTGTGAAATCTGTCTCATTGTCTAGAGCTCTTAGTTAACCTCAAGCGTTCCCATTATTAGGTGGACATTCAAATCAGTATGACTCCTCTGTAATAAATAGACAAGCATTGGATTAAACAAGCAGCATAGCTTGTTAGGTGTTGGTATTATCCATCTAACCATAGCCAAGGCTAGGCAGCTTAGGAAGTGGATTGCTGTGCGGAGAAGAAGCAAACAGTACATAGACAGTACCAAGAACCTTGTTTCTCCTGAAGCTTCTTGTATGCAGTTATGCTATTGGAGTCTGTGGATTGTGCCTCATCTCATGGAAACATAGGGTTGGTAGGACTTCCAGCCAGCAGTGAGATGTCGTTTTCCACTCCTCAGTAATGCCCAGGGATTACACTAACAGATCATAACCGTCATCAGTTTAATGTCTTAGTCTACGAAACCACGATCCGTAGGTTATCACGGTTCTAACGACATAGAAATATCATTGGATTTTGTCACCGGTTTTCCCGCAAAAGCGTTTACATCTTACAATTACAATTTTCGCTTTATGTTTGATTCTCTCTGGATGATGATGTAGTGATGATTCTGGAGGTTTGAAAGGCAGCAGTAGGGTTCGTTCTTATTTCAGCAATAATGCCAAGGCACAATAGCTTCTGAGATTCAGATCCTGACCCCTCCAAGCTGAAATGCATCTATCTGCAGTCTGCTTGACAATCAGCAGTCCTAGTTAAGTGTTAAATATTGCGGACGGGGCGTCAGTACCACTTTGTTTGTTTATAATCTTATATTAGGGTGGCTAGTATGAGTCGGAAGGACTAATCATTCGGCTACCGCAGTTCTCATTAGTAGTCAAAAGTGTGCTAATTTCAGTAGTTCTGCCGTACGTTTTTGATGAACTTTTTCGCACACCTCCGTCCAGGAGAACATTTCCATTGAACCGAGGAGTCGCAAAAAGTTTCAGGGCAGGTGTCCTCATCGAACAATCCTTGATCAATTTCTCGACTATTTTATTGCCCAGTATGCCCTGGTATCGAAACAAGAGTCGGGACTAACCTTCAGATTTTTAAGCATGGAGCTTGCTCAACATTGTTAGAGCACAAATGTAAAATGCAGTTTGGTCGGGTCGATTGTTTTCAACTTCTCAGAAGCGTGTTGCGAAGTGGGCGGGTTATAAGCAGGGAGAGGCGGCAACAACATCGCAATTACCTGCTAAATTTGTTATGACCTGGTATCAAAACGATGTTTATTTTGTTATTTTCACCATGTCTGACATGGCATTATTGCAATACATGACTCTGGACGTTCCTGGACTATGAGGTATTTGACTACAGACTAAACCACCAGCTGGCTGGATAGGCCAATTCAACCGGGCACAATAGGCAAACTAAACTAGCTGGATGGTGATACGCAGACAGTCCAATAATTGGCCGTGCATAGGCAGGTTGAACTAGACAGCTTTTGTCCCTTAGTTCTACACAGTATTGGAATGTTGGGAGGATGGATTAGAAGATGTCTGCGGTCCTAGTGCATTTGGCTGTCCGAGTAGATAAGAAGGAAATTACTTCCATTTATTCCAAACCCACCACTAAAGATGGCGAAATGCCTCAAACTGGTCAGTGTACAGTTCGACATATTAGGATGATCAAAAATAAACAAACTACGCAATCAAAACAAATAAATACACGTATAGATTGGCAAATAATTATTAAAATTAATAGTGCAATATAATAGAGTGTCATAAAAATTGACGGATTTCATTTTCTTGGAAATTGTAACCCCTTAAAGGCTTTATTTGTTTTTCAAATCAAATTAGATTTGATACCACTTTAATCCGTAGAGTGTAGGCTATACTAAATGAATATGTAAAAAAATGATCTCGATGCCTTCAGTTTGTCTCAGAGTTTGTTTTAACAAATGACGGTGAAATTTGAAATATTGGTAATATTACGTCATTTTAAACGTACATTACCGAAACAACCAAAAAGAGGATGCTCTCTCTGAAAGTCAGCGTGCAGAGGTTCCAGAGCTTTGAAGCCGATGACATCTGCCTCGAGAGGAAAGAGGGTTCCGGACGAAAATCATCATTCGACGAGGAATCTCTGCGGTACTCTGAGGCAGACCCAACGAAAAGTACTCGGGAGGCAAGAGTTTCCCAATCAACCATAAATCATGGGCTGTTTAATTTGGTGAAAGAGTGCCGCTCATTAAGAATGGTTCTTGAGTTGATCACTGAGCAGGCACGACGCCGAGCAGAAATTAGTCAACAACTTTTGCGATGAACAGAGGAGGTATTGGAGAAACCACAAGACAACAATGGTTTGACTGCAATCTGCCTTCTTTACCAGTCGCTAGACAAATTCGACAAAAAGACAATGTTCTATGTATTTAACATGCCATGCCATAATGAAGGCAAAGTTCATGAGTTAGTACTAGAAGGTCGAACCATTGGTCCAAATATTCCATGATGCCATGATGTTTGACTCTGCGTTACCCTAGATTAATAAATTGAAATCGGGTTTTGTTTCAACAAGATAACGCCCAACAATACTCGTCTTGTTTCATAAAACAAAAAAATAAAGAGTTGGATGGAATTCTCCTTCACCCTGATTACAGACCAGACATGCACCTTCCGACAGTTTCGGTCCATGGCTCATTATCCTCAAGGGAAAATCTTTATTCTCTGGGTGTGGTACAAAATAGATTTGCAGAATTCTTCCGTTCAAAACACAAGAACGAATCCAAAACCTGGTCTCGAAATGGTAACGAACAATAGAACACAACGTTATGCACTTTGAATATTTAAAAAAAATTGGGGCAAAATGAAATTATTTTTAAAGTAGTAAGAAAAACGGTCATTTTTTACGACTCACCCTATTTATATGGTAGAGTCTGAATACGGTTTATAGTCAAAACACGACAGAACAAAACAGCGAGGATAGGCGGACCATCTCAGTTTCACCTCGTAGACATCTACTAGATGACACATCACAATTTGATTGATTTTATCTGGCTCGTGTAATTTTGTCAAACTGAACAAAGCGGTTAGAGAAAAAATAAAGAAAATAGATGGATTATAAAAAATAAAAAATCCGAAAAAAATACAAAATGAAATTATTTTTAAATTAGCTAGAAAAACGGTCGTTTTTTATGACTCAACCTAATTAATATTTTAGAGGCTGAATATAGTTTATAGTCAAAACACGACAGAAAAAAACAGCGAGTATAGGCGGACCAATATCTCAGTTTCACTTCGTAGACATCTACTAGATGACACATCACAATTTGATTGGTTTTATCTGGCTCGTGTGATTTTGTTAAACTGAACAAAGAGATTAAGGAAAAAAGAAAGAAAATTGATGGATTATAAAAAATAAAAAATCTTAAAAAAATTACAAAACGAAATTATTTTTAAATTAGCTAGAAAAACGGTAATTTTTTATGATACATTACAATTTGTTCGATTTTATCTGGCTCATGTAATTTTGTTAAATTGAACAAAGAGGTTAAGGAATAAACTAAGATAATTGATCGTTTATCAAAAGTAAAAACCTAAAGAAAATCGTTAAGTAAATAATATCAACCTGAAGTTCGATCTTTATATTCCTCGAGCTATAAAAAAAGAAAAAAAAAACGTGGTTTATTACAAAAAGAAAAATCAAACAATAGTTCATGATAACTTTGATTACACTTCACTATCTCTCCTGTCCCAAAATCGGATATTGTTTACCCTGTCCTGACAAAACGGTCCATTTAACTAAAAAAAAAAATCCTCATGCAAAATTTATCAATTTTACAGCTTTGATCCAGACCCTACGTTGAGGTTATCGTTTTGGTCTGCCTCTTTTGGAATATGGGTCTTTTGGGCGAGCAATACCTCATTCCATCCTGCGTCTATACAGCGGTTCATCTCACTCCCTACGATGAAGATGGCCAAATGGTTCGAAACAATTGGAAAGATTTGAAAGTTATTTATTTAAATTATATTGCTTGATGTTTTAGGTCTGTGCTTTACACCGTACTCGGTACGCTTTTCTTCCTTAATCTGAGCGGTTTGATCGGCCTGGTGATTTACGCTTATTACAAAGACTGTGATCCTTATACGACTAAAGTAGGTTTTTTTAAATTGTATTTTTGTGGAATGATCAAAATTGTCTGTTTTTTGCAGGTTATCAACAGGCCTGATCAAATACTGCCGTTGTTTGTCGTAGAAGTTGCTGGTAAGATTAGAGGTCTGCCTGGGCTGTTCCTCTCTGGGGTGGTGTGCGCGGCGTTGAGGTTTCATTCTCAAGACGAAATATGAAGTAAAAAAGCCTAATTTGAATCGGTTTCAGCACGATGTCGACCGGTTTGAACACGATGGCCGGCACTGTGTACGAGGACTTCATCGAGCCTTATCTCAAGGTGAAAATAACGGAAAAGAAAGCCAGCCAAATCATGAAACTCCTCGTCGTCGTAATGGGCAGTGTCTGCGTCCTTTTGATACTCGTCATCGAGAAATTGGGAGCGATTTTGGAAATTTCGGTTCGGTTCAGCGGCATGACGTCAGGAACCACGTTGGGTCTTTTTCTCCTAGGAGCTTTCTTTCCGACCTCAAATGCAAAAGTAAGTCGAATCGTTTTACATGAAGAATATGTTATCCCCCAACAAAAAAATCGTTAGTGAAATTTATGTAAGTAATAGATTTTTTCAAACTAGCAAAAACGGTTTTTAATTTGGCCATTTTTTTTTTGCTTTAAGGGGGCGGCATGGGGAGCTTTGGTAAGTTTGGTCGTCATGACTTGGATACTCGTCGGATCAAATTTGGCCATGGCGAACGGCCTCATCAGTAATCCCGTACTTCCAACAAGTATAGAAGGATGTCCTTTCAACGTGACTGATGTCGTGCCTGTAGCCCAGTACGTATCAAGTTTTGACCCAAAATTTTCGAAAAAAATCACGTTGAAATTTCAGGGCCGCGACAGACGCTTACGTCTTTCCATTGTACAAAGTGTCGATTTTCTACTACAGCTTTATCGGTTGTACGGTTGTCATGGTCGTGGGCCTTGTCGTCAGCTATTTGACCGGACCGAATAAAATAGGAGACGTGAATCGCAAACTTCTCTCGCCTCTCATTTACGGACTGTTGCCGAAAGAAGTGGAAAATGACTACAAGGGTGTACCGTTGAAACCAGTAAACGGTTATGATTGAATCAAATGTATTTTATAATTTTGTAAATAAATTGTTGACACTGTTTTTCCTTTTTGGATTGGAAATGTGTTCATGTGAGCTAAGGTCCTGATATTTACGTTTCGACCTTTATTCGGGCCATCTTCAGGGATTGGGTAAACATTGGGAAAAAATACAATTTAAATTACATACAAAATTTATATTTGCAGCTTTCTTTAAAAAGGCATACACCTGAGTTGGATTTTTTCCAATCAACATATGTTTCGTAATTCACAATCCCTGAAGATGACCCGAATGAAGGTCGAAACGTGAAAAACATGAAAAAAGGTGTTCTTCTAAACTACCTCATTCTTGACCGTTCCTCACGACGTCAACAAATAATGAATTTTATGTTTATCAAATAGCTTCATTTTAATCTGTAGAATCATCTATCCTTTCTATTTATAAAAATGGCAATAAGCATATAAAAATCGAATACAAAAAAAAAGGATGGATAAATATTTTATAATTTCTTCTCGGCGAACTAATTATTATTTAATGTAAAAAATATAAAACAGAAGTACTACATGATTTACAAAAAGGTTTTTGTTTGAAAAACCTGTATAATTTGGTCTTATCTATGAATAGTGGTTTAATACTCTACCAATAAGTTTGCCAAATAATAACACAAAAAAATTGCCCATTTTCTGCACTAGTTTATTTTTTTGAAATTAAGACCTTTTATCAGCAGCTTTAGGAATTTTCCTTGTATGATTTATTCATATTAGTTTTGAACGTCCTACTCGGAGCTAGAGTGATAAAACTATAAATTAAGCCGACGAGTTAATCCTCGTGAGATGTTTATTCCTTCTTCTATTGTTTCATTTTTTTCTTCGGCGAATAAATACCACACTAACACTTTTGTCGGAATTTACTGGAACATAGTGGCCAACAGAGGTACTAGAGCAATCTCTCTTCTACGGACAGATCGTAGCACTCGGGTTGTCAAAACAGTACATATGATGAAGTTCGATCTCTCAATAAAATCATTAATAATATTCAATAAAACATAACACTTTAACTCAGTGTTTGCCAACCTTCTGCACCACCCTCAAACCCGAAGAATATAATCATAATATTAAAATGCTATCTGAATAAAAAGTTAAAATCACTTTAGAATAATTGATAAAACATATTAATTAATATCCAGCTAAGGTAAAAAATAGTAAATATCAGTGAAGTCTTATTTTCTCTAAAAGAGACAAAACTCTTAAAGATTTGGTTGAAATTTTTGCACTTAAATAGGTGATCGTTGAAAAATATTTGACGGACATTAATTAATAACAAGTTAAAGTAAAAAATAGTAAATTTCAGTGAGATCGTATTTTCTCGAAAAGTGAAAAAACTCCCATATATTTGGTTGACATTTTCCCACTTAAATAGGTGCATCATTGAGAAATATTTGACGGACATTAATTAAAAACAAGTTAATATAAAAAATAGTAAAATTCAGTGAGATCATATATTCTCGAAAAGAATAAAAACTCCCGAAGATTTGGTTGACATTTTCCCACTTAAACAGGTGCATCATTGAGAAATATTTGCCGGACATTAATTAATATCCAGCTAAAGTAAAAAATAGTAAATTTCAGTGAGATCATATATTCTCGAAAAGAAAAAAAAACTCCTAAAGATTTGGTTGATATTTTCGCACCTAAAAAGATGCATCGTTGAAAAATATTTGACGGACATTAATTAATATCCAGCTAAAGTAAAAAATAGTAAATTTTAGTGAAGTCTTATTTTCTCGAAAAGAGACAAAACTCCCATATATTTGGTTAAAATTATTGTACTTATCGTTGCAAAATATTTGCTGGACATTAATTAATATCCAGCTAAAGTAAAAGATAGTAAATATCACTGAAATCTTATTTTCTCGAAAAGAATAAAAACTCCCCAAGATTTGGTTGACATTTTCCCACTTAAACAGGTGCATCGTTGAAAAATATTTGACAGACATTAATTTTATCGAGCTAAAGTAAAAAATAGTAAATTTCAGTGAAATCTCGTTTTTGTCTAAAATAGAAAAACCCCATATATTTGCTTAAAACTTTCGCACTTAAACAGATGCATCATTGAGAAATATTTGACAGACATTAATTAATATCAAGCTAAAGTAAAAAATAGTAAATTTCAGTGAAATCTCTTTTTTTTTTTTTGAAAAGAGACAAAACTCCCATAAATTTTGTTAAAATTTTTGCACTTATCGTTGAAAAAATTTGCCGGACATTAATTAATAACCAGTTAAAGTAAAAAATAGTAAATTTCAGTGAAATCTCGTTTTGTCGAAAAGAGAAAACACTCCCAAAGATTTGGTTAACATTTTCCCACTTAAACAGGTGCATCGTTGAAAAATGTTGTGTCCTAAATCCTTTTTTGAGACTTTAACAAATAATATTAAATAAAATTACTGATACATTGATATTGAAAAGTTTTTCAAGCAACACTGGACAATCTTCAAAATCAACAGCCCGATCAAAGCCTTTTTTGATACCCAAGAACAATCCTGTGACTTTATTTTTATTGTCAAGAGCTCTCGGTATAAAATCAGAAGCCACAAAAAGTGCACCTTCTGCAGACTTAATTGAAATCCAGTTGGGAAGAAAATCAACAATTTTTTTTTTAATTTTTCCCTTAAAAAATTAGTAATAAAAGTAAAATCTTTATTTTTGGACAGTTTACTTCTAAACAGTTTTCTTTTGCATACCTGGCCAGAATTTTCAATTTATTTCTAACATCTGATGAACTGCCAGCAAAGAAAATTTTATCATTTCATTAAAAAAAAATTCTTTTGGAAAACTGGTACTGCTTTTTATCTTAATCGAGGCTTTATCATGTTTATTTTTTCTAATCTTAATTATTTTGCTATTGATTCCAATTTTGTTCGTATCATAATATATTATGGTTACAACGCTACAAAAAGGTTTTCTATTATTTACAAAAAGAGCGAAGAATTTTCTTTCCTTCTAGCCTAAATTAAGTTGGGCAATACCATTTATTAACATGGAAAATTTATATTAAAAAGAGAAAAGCAGTTTGATGACCAATAGGATCAGAACTTTAAAAATCGAACCGCGTGCTTGATGCTTTTCTTTTCCCTTCGGCTAAGTATGAGATCGCACGGTTATCAATATTTTCAAGGAGCTGCTGATTAAACGGGCGGTCAAGAAGGTTTAACAATGGGAGAAAGAAATTTTCATTGGGGCTCCGCCAAGCCTTGAAAGAAACCGGTGAAGCTTAAATCAGCCTGACCCTTGATTACTCGGGTTCTTTCGAGAAATAATCGTTTGCCCTGCAACTGAACGGACGGTAATGAATTGAAGACGAGTGGCATAAAAATAATAAGAAAACAAAGAACAATACTCAAATTGTTGAAGAAAAAACAATTTTTAACTCAATACTTTGAAAATATGTGTATCTTCTTCAAAGTTGAACCAGCTTTCTTCGTAAGGTCTGTAGATATAATTTTAACTGTATTGGGTTATAAGTAGGGCGAGGCATGATACCCTACACTGAAGGTAATGCAAGACGTCTCCTGTGATTCTACCACACCCTGAACAAATCTGATTCGATGTTTATCGTTATGGATTTTCATCTGCGGTTAGATTTTTATTTTAAACACGCGAAAATTTATGTGATAAGCAGATAGGTTATAAGGAGAAAAGGAGTTAGAAGAACTGAGTAAATGATTTTTTTTGTCTGCTACTTGAATTCCAAGTCAACCTTTCGCCTATGACAGTCTCAAATATTTGACGAGATCTTCTGCAGGAAGTGGAATTTGATTCAGGTAAACGGAAGTACTTTTCAATTGAGCGAAAAGGGCTCATATTGGCATTCTTTTCATTTATCTGTATTCTGCATATAAACCATGATTCTAACATAAAAGATGGTCTGAAAGGGATCGAAGTGCTATGAGAGGATAGAAGTTTGCAGAGATGTGTATTGTTAGAAAATGTGAGAGTGAGTTGTTAGTCTCGTGCAGTCTAACGTGTGTTGAAAAGTAATAGACTTAGTATGTTCTTAATTATATGCAGAACTACAACTGAAGATGTCGAAAAGAAAAACGCGTCTGACAAGCCAAAACAGCAAGAATGGGTAAATTAAAATGCTCGAAAACGACAGAACACAGATCCATCTTCCTGCAGACATCTGATCGAAATATCACATTTCAGACAACATAACCAAACGATGTAACTTTTCCTAAAATATGTGCAGAACTACCACTGAAGATGGCGAGAAGAAAACCGCGTCTCACAGGCCAATACAAGCCAGAATAAGAAATTAAAATGCTCGGAGACAACCAAACTACAGACCCATCATCTTGTAAGACATATAACCAGAACTAGCACAAAGAATGGTGATAAAAAAACTGCGCCTGACAGGGCAAAACATCAAGAATGGACAAATTAAATTGCTTGGAAACGATCAACTTCAGGCCGATCGTCCCGCAGGCAGCAAGACAAAATCTTACAATTCAGACAATATAACCAAACGATTTTACTTTTTGTAAAATATGTGCAGAACTACCACTGAAGATGGCGAGAAGAAAAAAGCGTCTGGCGGGCCAAAACAGCAAGAATGGACAAATTAAAATGCTCGAAAACGACGGAACTACAGCTACATCGTCCCTCAGACATCTGATCGAAATCTCACAATTCAGTCAATATAACGAGACGAGGTAACTGTAAAGTAGGTGCAGACTACCACTGAAGATGGCGAGAAGAAAAAAGCGTCTGGCGGGCCAAAACAGCAAGAATGGACAAATTAAAATGCTCGAAAACGAAGGAACTACAGATTCATCGTCCTGCAGACATCTGATCGAAATCTCACAATTCAGACAATATAACCAAACGATTTTACTTTTTGTAAAATATGTGCAGAACTACCACTGAAGATGGCGAGAAGAAAAACGCGTCTGATAAGCCAAAACATTGAGAATTGTTAGACTGAAATGCACGGAAATTACAGGACAATGGACCCTCAGACATCCAGATGAAATCTCACAATTCACACAATATAAAGAGGAGATTACTTTCTGTAAAGTATGTGCAGAACTACTACTGAAGATGGCGAGAAGAAAACCGCGTCTCACAGGCCAATACAAGAAAGAATAGGAAATTAAAATGCTCGGAGACAACCAAACTACAGACCCATCATCTTGTAAGACATATATAACCAGAACTAGCACAGAGAATGGTGAGAAAAAACTGCGTCTGACAGGTCAAAACATCAAGAATGGGCAAATTAAATTGCTTGGAAACGATTAACTACAGGCCCATCGACCCGCAGGCAGCAAGACAAAATCTTACAATTCAGACAATATAACCAGACGATGTTACTTATGTATGTGCAGAACTGCCACTGAAGATAGCGAGAGAAAAAAAACGTGTCTGACAGGCCAAAATAGCGAGAATGAGCATATTAAAATGCTCGAAAACGACAGAACTACAGCGCTTCGACCTGCAGACATGTGATCGAAATATCACAATTCAGACAATATAACCATACGATGTTACTTTTTGTAAAGTATGTGCAGAACGACTACTAAAGATGGCGAGAAGAAAAACGTGTCTGACAAGCCAACACTATGAGAATTGGAAGACTGAAATACTCGAAAATGATGGAACTACAGTTCCATCGTCCCTCAGAGTTCTAGAGGAAATCTCACATTTCAGACAATATACCGAGACTAGGTAACTCTGTAAAATAAGTGCAGAACGACGACTGGAGATGGCGAGAAGAAAAACGCGTCTGACAGGCCAAAACAGCGAGAATGGGCAAATTAAAATGCTCGAAAACGACGGAACTACAGTTCCATCGTCCTGCAGACATCTGATTGAAATCTCACATTTCAGACAATATACCGAGACTAGGTAACTCTGTAAAATAAGTGCAGAACGACGACTGGGGATGGCGAGAAGAAAAACCCGTCTGACAAGCCAAAACAGCAAGAATGGGTAAATTAAATGCTCGAAAACGACGGAACTACAGATCCATCGTCCTGCAGACATCTGATCGAAATATCACATTTTAAACAACGTAACCAAACGATGATATTTTTCTTAAAATGTGTGCAGAACTACAACTGAAGATGTCGAGAAGAAAAACGTGTCTGACAGGCCAAAAAAGCGAGAATGGGCAAATTAAAATGCTCGAAAACGACGGAACTACAGTTCCATCGTCCTGCAGACATCTGATTGAAATATCACATTTCAGACAACATAACCAAACGATGTTACTTTTCGTAAAATATGTGCAGAACTACGACTGGGGATGGCGAGAAGAAAAACCCGTCTGACAAGCCAAAACAGCAAGAATGGGTAAATTAAAATGCTCGAAAACGACGGAACTACAGCTACATCGTCCCTCAGACATCTAGAAAAATCTCACAATTCAGACAATACAACCAGACGATGTTACTTTTCATAAAATATATGCAGAACTACCACAGAAAATGGTGAGAACAAAACTACGTCTGACAGGTCAAAATAGCGAGAATGAGCATATTAAAATGCTCGAAAACGACGGAACTACAGCTACATCGTCCCTCAGACATCTGATCGAAATATCACAATTCAGACAATATAACCAAACGATTTTAATTTTTGTAAAATATGTGCAGAACTACCACTGAAGATGGCGAGAAGAAAAACGCGTCTGATAAGCCAAACCATTGAGAATTGTTAGACTGAAATGCACGGAAATTACAGGACAATGGACCCTCAGACATCCAGATGAAATCTCACAATTCACACAATATAAAGAGGAGATTACTTTCTGTAAAGTATGTGCGGAACTACTACTGAAGATGGCGAGAAGAAAACCGCGTCTCANTATATGTAAATTAGTTCAATTAATGTGATAAACTTTACCAAATTAGTTATTTAATAAAACGGCATCCAAATAACAAAAATTGAAAAAAGTTGAAGTATACAAAATATTAGAATCAAGATTTACTAAGCACTTGACTCACTTGACAATCAATTCAATTGAATGACCATACAAAAAAAAAAAAAACCAAAATCATTATCTAAAGTTGTCTTTTCTGTTTAATTTGACAACAACACCGACAATCCGAAGGGTCCAAAGCCAAAGGTATTAATTGAGATTGTAATGACAGTTTATAAATAATAAAGCACTTGATCGAAGTTTTCCGTTCCAAATCCGTTTCGATCCGTTAATTTTATTTAATTTCGGTAAACCCATTAGGAACAATGTAAACACATTGTCGTGTCATTACCCGACCGTGGTAGGGGTGGAATGCCGTTCTGATTGTGCGTGCTGCGAAGGCTAAGTGAGATGTTTCATGGACTCCCCTTGTAAAGCCCCATTGTTATACTTAACCCTCTTTAAAAGTATATCAGCCCCTGTTGTATTTGAGTGGGCTTCGCCTGTTCGTCTTCTCACCATTACCTGGCCACTAAATCGTGTCCGACCCCATCTCAGAGATGAATCTTCATTTCCTTTCTGTTGCGTTTACACATTGACGTCCATTAATATTTTTTGTACTATAGACAATACTGTAAAGTTTAAAAAAATAAATAAAATGCATCAGGGATTTCGGATTTTTTTGGTAGTTTTATTTTTATTTTATCAATGTGTAGTATCCAGGTCAAAGAATTTGTAATTTTTGGTAGTTTGTCTTCTTTTCATCATTTTCATCGGAGGGTTTGAAATAAACTGTGTTTATTTCATCATTTTAAACGGAGGGGAGTTGAAATAAATAAGTCGTCATCTCATCATTTTTATCGTAGGGTTTGAAATAAATTGAAAAAAATTGTCTTCATTTCATCATTTTCATCGCAAGGTTTGAAATAAATTGTCTTCATTTCATGATTTTCATCGGAGGGTTTGAAACAAATTGAAAAAAATTGTCTTCATTTCATCATTTTCATCGCAAGGTTTGAAATAAATTCTCTTCATTTCATGTTTTTCATCGGAGGGTTTGAAATAAATTGAAAAAAATAGTCTTCATTTCATCATTTTCATCGCAAGGCTTGAAATAAATTGTCTTCATTTCATGATTTTCATCGGAGGGTTTGAAATAAATTGAAAAAAATTGTCTTCATTTCATCATTTTCATCGCAGAGTTTGAAATAAATTGCCTTCATTTCATGATTTTCATCGGAGGGTATGAAAAAAAAATTGTCTTCATTTCTTTATTTTCATCGGAGAGTTTGGAAGAAATTGTCTTTGTTTCTTCGGAGGGTTTGAGATAAATTGTCTTCATTTCATTTTCATCGGAGGGTATGAAAAAAATTGTCCTCATTTCATCATTTTCATCGGAGGATTTGGAAGAAATTGTCATTTCATTTTCATCGGAGTTTGAATTAAACTGTCTACATTGCATCATTTTCAACAGAGGGGGGTTGAAATAAATAAGTCATCATCTCATCATTTTTATCGGAGGGTTTGAAATGAATTGAAAAAATTGTCTTCATTTCATCATTTTCATCTCAGGGTTTGAAATAAATTGCCTTCATTTCATGATTTTCATCGGAGGGTATGAAAAAAATTGTCTTCATTTCTTTATTTTCATCGGAGAGTTTGAAATAAATTGTCTTCGTTTCATCGGAGGGTTTGAAATAAATTGTCTTCATTTCATCATTTTCATCGCAGGGTTTGAAATAAATTGACTTCATTTCATGATTTTCATCGGAGGGTATGAAAAAATTGTCTATTTCTTTATTTTCATCGGAGAGTTTGAAATAAATTGTCTTCGTTTCATCGGAGGGTATGAAAAAAATTGTCTACATTGCATCATTTTTATCGGAGGGTTTGAAATAAATACACATTTTGGCCTCACCCTGCTTATAATCCAGCGTAACCAATGAAGACCAAACTCCAAAACGCGTCAGACCAAAATGGATCACATCATTTTCTGTTCAATGAAACACTTGTGTGCACCTAGTGTTTCCTAAAACAAACGGCACGTGAAACAAATGATCTAGGTACTACAAAAAAAAATTAAAATGTAATCAACTATTTTATTAATTATTATTAACATTTCGAAAATATTTACGATAAGTACAAATGATTTTATCTTAACCAAGAATGCAAATTGATATAAAACCTGAATTTTTCAAATTTAAATTTTACACAATACACAATTTTTCTATAAAAAATATAAATTTAAGTGAATTAAATTATTTATTATCCACTCATTGGGTGTCAAAAAATAACCAGTAATTATTGTAAGTTATTGTTAAAGCTTCTTAAAAATTAAATATATACATAATGATTTATTTACAAGTTAAATCTACACTAGACTAGAGGGTACTCATCAACTATGTCAAAATATTAATCGTATCAATCAGTGTCTGCATCATTCGGTGCTTTTAAGCCAGTCGAATCACTCCCAACCGAAAATGAAAATTAATTTTTATCGAAAAACCGTTTGAAAAATTGAATCAGTTAACCGGTAAGTCCGTTGCATCCCTTTGCGGCGAGGACGGAGGTGACTTGCAAAGTCCGCACACTGGCGGAGGGTATCCAGGACCGACCAGACTGCTCGCCAAGGCTAAGTTTCTGAAAAATATTGGGTTTTATTAGAACCAAGAAGAAAATAAACTAACAGGAGGAAAGATAATAATATTGTTAGTTATATGAATCCTTATATGTTTAGTAATCATAATCGACTGTGTTATTTTAATTAATTATATTATCTATTTAAAATACACTCTGGCAGACATTAGTCATGCCATTTTTATTATTACTTTGTGTACAGAAAATAGTTCGGAAATCTGGACCCCTCGAACTTACTGAAGCTGATGATTCGCTTGAACAACATTAAGGTGCCGGTTTCGCAAAATTCTTAAACTTAAAAGGTCATCCTGTGGTTCTGTTACCCTAGAGCGTCTAAAACCCGGCTTTCTATGGTAAGTCCCAGTTTCTCGAAAAATTCTAACCAATGAAAATAGCCGCATACCTGATGGAACGTCCATCATCAATAAGTGCCACACCACGCGCAACATCCTCAGCACTAAGTGGCATTTTTAAGTTTAAAAATTGAAGAAGAAAGATGAAACCAAGATGAAAANTCTGGCAGACGGCATTAGCCATGCCATTTTACTTTGTGTACCATTGAAAATGTTATTTGTATGTGTTTTCTTTTTAAAATAAAAAGTACTTCAATCAATCAATAAATTAATTCCAGGGGGATTAACGATGTAGAGGACGAAGGAATTATCATTTAAACCGATCAAATAGAGATGTTTTATGTAACAAAGAACATAAACAATAACTGAAATTTAATAATACGTAGTTTTTTGATGATATGACAATAAACCATGTAAATATTTTTTTTCTTATAAATCTCATATACAAAAATCTCATTTAAAACCCTTGTTTTCAAATTGGATTTTGATAATAGTTATTATGAAGTTAGGTAGAATTTTTATTGTGCTCTAATCCAAAAATTTAATCGCGTACTGCAATATTTTTACACAAACAGCTTAGTTTTTAGTACAATATGAACAATGAAGTTTTTTTTTGATAATGCAATATATTAAAATGTGATTATTTAATGAGGTTTTAATGATTATTCATTTTAAATTAAATTTGGATTATAAGATATATAAAATATTTAAATTTAATGTCAATTATTTTGAAACTTGGGGTGATATCAGATATAGCTAGTTTTATATCTATTGATCTTTTTAATCCGTTATAGGAAAAAAAAGAGAGATGGTAAAAACACCCCCGAGTCTAATAATAATTAGGTGTTTTTTAAAAGAGCGACGAAGCTCAAAGAGACGGACTTTGGATTAGTGTAATTTGTGGAGTCATTACAAGAGGGATTGGACTGGGAAATGCAGCACGTGGGCCTAGCCGTGATACTATCTGCGATAATCTCCGCAATCCCCTATTAAACCACTCGAATTGAGCCTATTGTCGTGCTACAACAAGAGGTGACAGCTCACCTTCCTCCCAGTCCCCAGCCAGCCGAATACAAACCGATCTTTTGTTGTCGCAACGATAGCGTGGATATCTCTTCTCTTTACTGGGAGATTTTGAGCCATTTCCGCTGTTTCGCCATCGGTCGAAGTCAGTTTTGTCTCTTTCAATTCAGGGATGAGCATCGATAACAAAACATCGATGGTCGCCATCGATTAAACATCGGGACCTCATCATTGTTGGGTACGACCATCGAATCCACACATCCATGGTTTTTTGAATACTCAAACCACAAATTATTTTCATATGCATACATTATTTTTACATGCCACTTTAAACATAAGTTAATTTTTCAAACTAAGCCATTTCTGAACCTTTGTTAGGAATTTGATTAATTAAAATTATGTTAATTTGTGTGGAGTTTAGTGACCGTTAGTCGATGATTATTCCGAGATCGTGAGATGCGGTCTGGTGTGACGTACATTTTAGAAAAACATTTTCTTTATCGTGTCAACGTTTCGATCTTTATTGAGATCATCTTCAGCGCCTGGGATTTATAAACATTGTTTAAATTTTTCCAATACATGTAGGATGTGAAAAAATTAATTGAAAAAATGCTAAACATTTTGGATAAAAAATATATAATATTAAAAAAAAGAATTTTTACAATGCTAGAAAAATTTTGATTAAAAAAAATTATACAATGCTAATTGTATAAATTCATATTTTTTATGATAACATTTTCTAGCATTGTATAAATTCATTTTATTTATTATCTAAAATTTCTAGCATTGTATCAATTCTTTTTTACACATCGTTGTTTAATACAACATGTTCAAATTTTACAAATGCATGTAGGATGTGAAAAAATGAATTTATACAATGCTAAAAAATTTTAGAATAAAAAAAAGCATTAATCACATGATAGAAAATTTTAGATAAAAAATAAATAAATANTAAATTCATTTTTTTAATGTAAAATTTTCTAGGATTTCATAAATTAATTATTTTTAACCTAAAATTTTCTAGCATTGTATAAATTCATTTTTTTAATCTAAAATTTTCTAGGATTCCATAAATTCATTTTTTTAAATCTAAAATTGTCTACCATTGTATGAATCCATTTTATTTATTTATTTTTTATCTAAAATTTCTACCATTGTATAAATTCATTTTATTTATTTATTTTTTATCTAAAATTTCTAGCATTGTAAAAATTAATTTTTTCACATCCTACATTTATTTGTAACATTCAAACAATGTTTGTAAATCCCTGGCCCCGAAGATGATCTCAATGAAGATCGAAACGTTGGCATGATAAAGAAAATCTTTTTCTAAAACCTTCGTCACACCAGACTACATCTCACGATCTCCGAATAATCATTGGGTTTATTTTTTTTTCATAACATTTATTAAGAATTATTTTTTCCTTTGCTTTTTTTATCATTGTATCTCTAGGTCCCTTTTAAATAAAAGATTTCTATTGTTAAAGTATATTGAATTGAATGCCTGTGAATTTTATTCAAAATACCTCCCTGTTTTTCGTCGATACTTTGGTCGACGTCCTCGTTTTACAATATTTTTCTTATATTATTAGATTTTCATATTTGTTAACCATACGAATTATTAATGAAGTTTCAAGTCTCCATTAACGGGTTATATACCTCGAAATTTTGAAGGTCCTGACGGGAGACGTCGGCCGGATACAAGGTCGAAAAAATTTAGACACGTGAACTATCGTTCTTATCCAAAGGCCCTACTTTTGCAAGGACGTAAGTCTGCTTGTTTTTGATGTAAACATCGCGAATTCCTACTCGCTGGAAACAAGTCCTTATTGAAAGTTTGATATTTCTAAAATATATCAATTAGGTTGAACTGACGTATAAAACAGAAATAACTCTAAATGAAAATATGTCATTGTACCCAAGCCCTCATTGACTATTCTACTTGGTTTTATGGCTTTTTTTCCAGAAGATAAGAATTTATTTTAGCACGTGTTAAGGTTTTAACAATGTTTCATTTTCTGTAGAAATCGTACAGGCGTTCTCATTCATTTAAAACAGCGATATCAAATAAAATCAAAATAGTTCATTGTTGTCGACAAGAAATGATTGAACAATTGATTTGTTTTTATTGTTTTTCTAATAATTATGAGTTTATTTGAACTCATGTTATAGGTATTTAGTGTGCTTTTGATTCTCACATGAAAGTTATTCATCGATCAAATTAACTACAATAATTCGTTATTGTAGAAGTCTCAAGTCTAATTCTATGTTATATATGTTATATTATATTCGATAAAAAACGTATTGCATCACGTTCCTTGGAAGTGTTAATGTCTTAAGTGTGCTTGCGTTTGACGTAAACATCTTGCGTATCTACGCAACCACTAAAAAGAACGGTTAACGCGAATGAAAATTAGTTCACTGCTGTAGACAAGGCCTCATTGAATATTTTGTTAATTTTAAAGCTTTTTCTAAGAGTTAGGATTTAGTTGAACTAGAATTAAGCTCGTAAGTATGAAAAGTACGTTTCTTTTTGATGCACACATCGTAAGTTCCTACTCAAACGCCCTATAACTCGGGAGTCAAATTAGTTCATTGTTGTTGAGAAACCCCTATTGAATATATTATTTCTTCCTATGATTTTCCTAAGTTATATCAGTTTAATTGAACTAGTTATGGTCTTAAGTATAATTGTTTTTGATGTTAGCATCGTAAATATCCCAAAAAACAAAATACAACATGAATGAAAATTAGTTCATTGCTGTAGACAAGCCCTCATTGAATATTTTATTAATTTTAAAGCTTCTTCTAGGATCTATGTGTTGAATTGAACTAGTATTAGGCTCGTAAGTATGGTCAGTACGCTTCTTTTTGATGTACATATCATACATTCCCACTCCCAAACATATAATCCGATATAACTCGAAATCAAGTTAGTTCATTCTTGTTGGGACGCCCTTATTGAATATTTTATTTGTTTCTACAATTTCTGTAAGTTATATCAGTTTAATTGAACTATTTACGGTCTTAAGTATAATTGTTTTTGATGTGAGCGTTGTAAATATCACAAAAAATAACATACAACGTGAATGAAAATTAGTTCATTGTTGGATACAAGCCCTCATTGAATATTTTATTTATTCCAAAGCTTTTTCTAAGATTTATGTGTTTTATTCACACCTGGTATTAAGCTCGTAGGTATGGTAAGTACGTTTCTTTTTGATGTACACATCCTACTTTCCTACTCACACACATGAAACCGCATACAACTCGAAATCAAGTTAGTTCATTGTTGTTGGGACGCCCTTATTGAATATTTTATTTGGTTCTACGATTTTTCTGAATTATATCAGTTTAATTGAACTAGTTAATGTCTTAAATATAATTGTTTTTGATGTGAGCATCGTAAATGCCACAAAAACATCATATAACGTGAAAGAAAATTAGTTCATTGCTGTAGATAAGCCCTCATTGAATATTTGATTAATTTTAAAGGTTTTTCTAAGCTTTATGTGTTTAATTGACCTGGTATTAAGCTCGAAAGTATGGTCAGTACGTTTTTTTATGCACACATCGTACGTTCCTAATCACACACATAAAATCCCATACAACTCGAAGTAAAGTTAG